TCGCTTGGTGTCTCAGTGACAAGTCCTTGGGTCTTGGTGATTACGTCTTAGAGGACATCTATTCTTACTTCATCCGTGCATTTTTATCTCTTTACTCCGTACTGCTCACCCTATCACGGTCAGGCGAGCCGGGTGCTGCACAACACCAGGGCTGTAACGCAACACCCCACTTTCCGGCCATTCCTTATCAGATGAGCGAAATTGGTCTCGGGCAGTCTATCGTGGGCGCAGCCAAGGCCGGCCAGTGATACTGTTACGCAATCATAGCCGCATCAGGAGAGAGTGCGTGAAAGTACGGAGGGAAGGTATGCTCAAGATTGTTATCTGATCCGAATGCTCGACTAAAGTTATCTGATCGAAGCCGTGCCACGCCACGCTTGATCAGGAAATGAGACAGGTCCAAGACCAGCTCTGCAAACGGAGACAGTCCTCTGCATACTGATAATCTCTGCACTGTTGAAATGCGGCATTTATCTGCAACCCCACTTTGAGGAGATCGTTCCTGATTTGTCCTGGATTCCTCATTCAAAATCCTGCGAATCCGAGACTTCGAGTCCGACGTCGCACTGCGGTAGACTAAGTGGGGATATCGTATTTCTGTTATCAATCACTCATGGGTAAACGGAATGGTCAAGGTGCATTTGAAAATTACAGACACTAGAGTGGACTGTCAGCCGTGATCGAGATTTTTAGAACAGATGAGTTTAGGCTTTGAGATTCGTCTTCATCCGAGGTAGGGGCCAAACCAAACAAGTGTCCTACGCGTGCTATACTCCAAGATACCTAGCGAGCCAAACTCCGAGGCCTAAATTTTCGAACCAATTCCTTGGCTAATTTCCCGGCCTTTGTGGGCATCTGCTACAGTCTCCGTAGATGACCCACAGAGCCGAATATCGGATCTAGCTGTGCATTATATTCTTCCGATTTTAACAGTAAATGGACACGAGACTCCAAGGAGACAAGAATTATTCGTATATTATCGAAATAGAATTTGAAAGTGTCTACTTTCCGGTGTTTGGCGAAGGTTCGGCGCTGAATAATTTTGTTTCCTATTCTTCATCAGATTAGATGGCCATCTAATCTGATTGTGCGGTGGGGCACATCCCCCCTTTCATTTTCTACTGCTCACCCGCTTCTACCCGGAAAAATTTCTTAGATTCGCTCAGACTTGTAAAAACGAAATGAAGAAAAAATAGGAAAAAGAATCTAGAGTATATACATTCAGCCATCAGGTAAACCAGTCTATTTATCCTTTATTGCTGCCATTTTTGCCAGCCGTCTCTCCAAGACACCCGCCGCAATCTTGCGTAAATCCACCTTCCGAACCTTGCCGCTACCGGTCACAGGAATCGTGCGGTCGACGCCCTCCTCGCCAAACACAAAGAAATACTGCGGCGCCTTGTGCCGACCCAGAGTCTCCCGCGTCCAAGCGCGGAGCTCCTCATCCGATGGTCTCGCGCTCACGTCAGCAGCCAGTGCAAGGAAGGCCCCCACGACCTCACCGTATTTCTGGTCCGGGATGCCGATTACGGAGGCTACCTCGATGGCTGGGTGTGCGGCTAGTCGCTCTTCGATTTCGAGGGGGTAGATGTTTTCTCCGCCTGTGTGGGTTAGATTTAATCTTTGTACATTAGGAGAGGGAAAGTGGATACCTCTGATAATGATGTCTTTGAATCTCCCGGTGATGGTACAGTAACCCTCCTCATCGAAGATGGCTTCATCGCCTGTCTTGAGCCAGGTTACGCCATCCGAGTCGGTGATTAGCGCCTCGGCTGTCTTCTCGGGATTGTTCCAGTACCCCTTTGTCAATTGGTATCCGGCAATGCAGAGCTCTCCGCGCTGGCCGACGGGGACGATGTGGCCCTGTGTGTCGATGATCTTGGCTTTGGCGTGGGGCATGACCTTTCCGACGGTTGTAAGGCGTCGTTCGATGCTGTCGGTGGTTAGGGCGTTGAAGCAAGTGGGTGAGGCTTCGGTGAGGCCTGTACTCGTCAGCACTGTTCTAGATCAGGGTACAAAAATTGGAATACCGTAGCTGCTGGTATACTCGGTCATATTCAACTCCTCAAGCAACCGCTTCATGAGCGGCCGGGGAACAGGCGCACCGGCGATGATTCCCGTCCGTAGGTTCGAGCAGTCAAAGTTGGGTGGCTTTGGAAGACTCAGAATGGCCTCGAACATGGTGGGTACGCCGTGCAGGGCGGTACATTTCTCGTCCGAGATGGCGCGCAGCACGGCGGTCGGATCGAACGTCTCACTGGGGAAGATGATTTTTGACCCGTGGGTGACGACAGCGAGCATGCCCAGCACGAGGCCGAAACAGTGAAAGAGGGGCGGTGGGCAACATAGTGTGTCGAACGAGGTGAGGTTCATCCGGTCGCCGATGAAGCGGGAATTATTAACTAGGTTGCTATGACGAGTTAGTTGCTTTCATGGCAGTAGTTCTAGGAACGTACTGATGTGTCAACATGGCGGCTTTGGGATTGCCTGTCGAGCCGCTGGTGAACTGCAGGTTGCAGACATCCGTAGAATGGAGCTCCGCTTCTCGGTCCTGCAGTGCATGGCTGGGAAGCGGTAGGCCGCGCTGGATGACATGTTCATATGTGCTAAAACCGTTGTATTGTCCTCGTAAAAGGATAATCTCCTCCAACGCCGACGAGGTCCCCTGTTCTTTTGGACGAGGCCCTAACTTGGCTAGTACCTCCTCGAGCGAATGGCGGCCAATGCGTGGAGTCACGAACAGGAGTCGACAATCTGCAGAACATGCCAAGTTAATTCTGTAAGGATCATCAGGAATGCTGCAGCTAAGTACATACCCGTGTGCTCGAGAGCATAGTACAGCTCGGACGGAGTATATGTATTGTTCAGCACCACCAAAATCGCCCCGACACGCGCAGCGGCAAAGAAAACCGAGATATACTGCTCGCAATTACCCGCCATAATCCCTATCCGGTCGCCCTTTTGAATCCCCATGGCCAGCAGGCCGTGAGCCACCCGGTCCGCTTCATCCTTCAGATCGGCGTAGGTCCAGCGCGCGCCAGTCCAAGGGAAAACGAGACACTCGTAGTCGCCATATTGCAGGCTCTGAAGGGTGAGAAGTTCACCGAGAGTAATATCTAGTAGTTCTGGTTGGGTTGGGCCTTCGACGATCGACAGCAGTTGGGGAGCCTTTGGCGGCTCAAGGTGCGAAAGAGTTTGTTGTAACCGTCGTACAGTTGCCATTATTTTGGTTTGGATGTCGATCACAGTGTACAAAGGTTGATCCTCAGACACGGAACGGACCAGAGGAAATTCGTCTTATATTACTAGTGCTGCCTTCCAATGAGGATGTCGCCTCGGATAATACATCTCGACTCGGCTGTCGCTGTCTCCGTCTCGGGTCTCGGTACTTGAAGAAGAAGGCGCATTCATAAGCATTGTAGGCTGACCCAGATCCTTCATGGCATGTCTTTGAGTCCACTATTATGTTTTACTGACACATTTGTCCAGAACGATGAGTGGAGGAGGAATCGGGCCCATGTGGCTCTGTTGACAAGGCTCCACTGTAAAGCCGTTAGCCAATCTGCGCGGGATTGCTCTCCTAGCCTTATGCCTCGCTTATCAGATTTTTCGCGTAAATGACTTGGCATGGCGAGAGTGTCGAATCAGATGGAAGAAGGCAATCCATGTGGAATTACGTTTGATCAGATAAGAATGTTCCGGAGCCGGTCAAGTCCACGAGTTGCCGAGTAAATGTGTCGAATTTCTTCTAAAACTTTACATGGATATCGCTCGAAGACGACAATGGTACCTGTTAAGGTAATTCTGTGATATAGTTCAAGCGTATTTAAAGATATGATAATGCTGTAGTGTCGCATAAACACGATTTATTCAATTCAAGGAACTTGATGCAGCCTTGCAGTTAGCAATGAGACCCTATATCTGGGTCAAACCTACGCTTCAGCGCACTCGTGGTCCACCGATCGTGAAAAATTCGAAATGGATAGATCTGTCTCCGAGGCTAGAAACCACGTTGTCACTTATCTCGCCCTTAAGTCGGATTTTCTCTCGGATATAAGGTGTACCATGTTTCGCTTGCTGTTTCCTTGTGGGATGTGATGTCCCACCCCACCGTAGGCAAACCATGTAACAAGACAGGTTTTTGCTCTCAGGCCGTGATAGAATACAATTTCTTGTATTGAAGACGTTGTGCAGGGGTAATGTTCAGGTATTTCACGGCTATCATTAAAGAGGGTAGCTGCAAGTTTATCTGAATGTCTGAAAATATATATAGCCCTGCACTGAAGGACAACCACTATATTTATTGAATACTATGTCTAAGGAACATAATAAGCTGGCAGGAATAAATGCAGCTATTCTGCCTGTTGGAAACCCGAGGAAATCCACCAGAAAATATAATAATACACTCAGGTCCAGTTACACGCAAAAAATTAATGGCTGTGTTTTGCAAACTGAGCGGTGACTAATGCAGTATCAATCTAATCAGATGATCTAATCAGATAAATGATCCGACAACGGGCGCAATCGGAGGCTGGCCTGAGAAACGAGGTGCTTTTTGTTCCTGACGCGTCTTGGCGCGTGTCATTCCTTGGTCAGCACGTTTCTCATCAGCTGATCTCTGCCCAACATGGCTAATAGCATCCATTGCTGGCTGCCTTTTTGGCACAGTATCGTCGTCATTCCTGTTAGTCACCATCGGGGGTCTTTCTTAGCTGCTGGAATTCCCCCCACATGCTCCCAACAGCACCCAATAAGATTACTGTGACCCCTCGCTGGTCCACTCGAAGATTACCAGCGAGGGGCAGTTCTGGCACAGTTCTTGCTCGGGAGGGGGAAAAAAAAAGTAGTTCTGAAGTGTAGATCTTCATGAAATGTTTTCTTTTTCCATGTCTTCAAAAACCTGCGGGTGCCGCTGTGCTTCAGAAAGCCACACCACATTCCAGTGTGCGACTGATTTTGTCCCAGGTGTGTGATAATTCCGCCCGCAATCGACTGAAGCAATGGCAGGAACAACAAACCCCGCGGATAAGGGGCTCACAGGTCCAACGGAAACCACAAACCACATCAACAGCGCGCGCAGTGATGTTTCACTTGGCTCAAGTCTATCTGGGATTGTTCCTGTGACGAAGATACCTGCTCTAGACACTATCGACCAGTATGTTGCCGAAGGATCACCGGACGATCCAATTGGACAAAGTCCCTGGCGAAGGATCAACCAAGGCGATGTTAGCGGAGAACTCGCGACAGGATTGATCGAAGGCTACGCTCGATTTGTATGCGCTCTCACCGGTCTCGAAGATGTTGCTTTTGCCGTCTTGTGCCAGGCTTCGACAAGACCTTCGCAGGCTCTGATTTGCGCTTCCGTGACCGTGACCGACCAAGAGAAGGAGGTGCAGTCAGCAGGGCAATGTGCAGTGCGCGAACTCGACTTTTCATACTACAACAGAAGCGAGGTCCAGTTCGCTCTGGACTTAGCTTTGACTGGTGGTCCCGAGAACAGAACGACCGGTCTGAGCACTCTGGCAGAGAGAGATGTCAGTATGCATCAAAAGCGCCGACAGACGATAGCTAACGTATATGACAGTGTCTCTCGTTGTACGTTCGGAGTTCCACCGACGGACTCTGCATCAGTTTCACTTATCCAAAGCGGCTGATCCCAGAAGCAGCAGTGAGTCAGCTGCTGAAGACGATTACGTTCCACATAACGCAAACCACTGGATGTCTACGATCTACAGGAGCTTGGCCGGATGATCCAACTCCAGACTTATCTATCCTTAATTTTCCCCCTCTGATGATACCCCCTCCACGAGATCATGATTCTGCGACAATGTCGCGCCGTTCCAAACCATTCCTTCTTCATTCTGCTTTCGAGGGCTGGGCCCAGAAAAGTCCAACTTCTATTGCACTAGACTTCGTTCATTCTTTGCCATCGGGCAGCTCCATGGCGGAGCATAGCACCCTAACCTATGCTGCTCTTAATGCCGCAGCCACCGACTTGGCAATCCATATCAGGAGACTCCTCTCAGACGATACGCGCAATACTGGCAGTCGCATCATTCCTGTCTATATGTCAACTTCTCCCGAGCTTTACATTTCATATCTCGGAATCCTCAAAGCCGGTTATGCATTTTGCCCCATTCCCACAAATGCTCCAGCTCAGCGAGTCTGTGAAATTCTTCAGGATATCGACTCCTCTGTAATACTTGGCGACGCTGAGGAACCGTCTGCTGCGCCATGGCTCCCAGATGCAGCCGATGAGACAACGTCAAAGCCAACTTGGGTCAACGTGGCTGAAGTCTCTAGATGGAAGCACTTCTCCGGGGAGGATACTGAGATTGCAACCGAAGACCGATTGTTTGAGCCTCCAGACATCGACGATAATGAGATTGCCTACCTTCTTTTTACAAGTGGGTCCACGGGCAAGCCCAAGGGCGTACAAGTCAGTCACCTTGCAGTTACCTGTTCAATAGAGTCCCACGCTACAGCCATCCCGCTTCCTGGGACCTCGGCTGGCGATTTCCGGTGGTTCCAATTCGCGTCGCCTACGTTCGACCCTTCTCTGATGGAAATATTCGTCACGCTGAGTAGCGGCGGAACTCTCTGCTCGGCATCGCGGAACCTGACGCTTACTGACCTGGAAGGAACAATCAACGAGGCCAGAGCTACCGTGATGATGGCAACCCCTAGCCTAGCAGCACTCCTTCGACCCTCCCGGTTGACTACCCTTCAATCTTTGTGGACAATGGGAGAAAAGCTCAATCGAACAGTCATCGAAAACTTCACTCAAAAGGCGCACAATAACGATCTGAACGGGGACTCTGTTCCAACATCAAGGCTGTTAGTCAACGCATATGGTCCCACCGAAGCAGCCATCAACTGCACATTCCTCGCACCGGTCGAGTATCATACCCGTGGGTCAATCATTGGCGAGCCACTGCCCACATGCTCAATGTTTGTCCTGGATCCAGCCTCCCATACCCCCAAACCTATTCCAGCTGGTCTTGCTGGAGAACTTGCAATTGGAGGACCTCAGGTCAGCCAAGGCTACTTGAATCGCCCGGAAGAAACCGCCAACTCCTTTGTCCATAGCCCTGAGTACGGATACCTCTACCGAACTGGGGACTTGGCTCGCACTGTCTGGGACGAGAAAGGAGCGCAAGTCATTGAGTTCCTTGGGAGAATCACATCTGACCAGGTGAAGATCAGCGGTCGTCGAGTTGAGTTGGGGGAGATCGAGTCTGTCCTTGCCACATTGACTGGAGTGCGCGAGGTCGTGGCGGTGGTCCCCAAGCGTGATGCAACGGTACAAGGCAGTGAGCAAATTGTAGCATGCATTGTGACGGACTCCCCTACTGAAGACGCACTACGGGAATTCGTACGATTGGCTGATGAATGTACACATCGTCATCTTGCTGCATATATGTGTCCGTCTTCCTATGTCTTCTTTGACTCAATCCCGCGAACAAGCTCTGGTAAGGTCGACCGTAATTCTATCGACAGCATGTTGCAACAAGGCGAAGATAGCGGCATGAAGTTCTACATGGCCTCGAACGAAGTTTCAGAAGCGCGGGGCACGGCGCGGGGCGAGTGGGACGCGCTTGAGGATGAGAAAGCTCTGGAGCTACGAACCCTAGTCCTCAATCTCATCGCACAGACCACTGGCCAGGATATCTCTGTGATCAAACCCAATACGAGTCTCTACACACTGGGATTGGACTCGCTGGGCGCGATGCGGTTATTACAGAAGCTGAGAGATCAATCCATCCACAATTTATCTGTGGGAGATGTACTACAGTCAAATACCGTTAACGGGCTTCTCGCACTCATCCTGAACGGTAAAGCGAATCTAAGAGGACTTACCCATGGACAGCTTGTGGATGATTCATGTATGTCCCTGGCGGAGCACCTGCAAGCATTTAACGACACGAACCTGTCAACATGCGCGGAACGGGTTGGCATCAGCCCCGAGGGAATTCAGACCGTCCTGCCCACAACAGAAACGCAGTCTGGTATGCTAACGAGCTTTTTACGTACCTCAGCCGATAGCTCATTTGCTACTCGGTCGTACATCTATCATTCTGTGATTTCGCTAGAGCCTCATGTGGACATTGAGCGGCTCAAGAAGGCCTGGGAGTCTGTGATCGCAAGTTATGATTCCTTCCGAACGAGGTTCTGCTGGATTGACGATGGCATGGCTCCTTTTGCGCAATGTATCCTCAAAGAAGAGGCAGCATCTGCACCGAAGTGGGCTGTCTATCATACTTCCGGGGACTCCATGCGGAAAGATATCCTGACTGGGGCGGTTCGAGAAGCCGAAAACACAATTTCCCTTGACTCCCCGTGGAAACTATCATTGCTTGAGTCTTCAGCTGACAAGGTCATCATATTGAGCATGTTCCACGGTATATTCGATGGGGGTTCGTTGCAACTTCTCTTGGAAGACGTGTCTTCCGTTTATAATGGACAGCCGCCAGCACGCAGAACGTCGTTAGAGCATGTTGTTGTAAACCATTTTCAGGCGAACCAAACAGCAACATCGAACTTTTGGAAGGAATACCTCAACAACTATTCGCCAATTGCTTTCCCTTCTCTTACCGCCTACAGACCTCCAGCTGTTAAGACTACCGACTGTGTCGAAATCACTCCTCGCACGACCCATGACATTCTTAAGCAACGATCCAGAACAATCGGGTCCACACCACTTTCTGTCCTGCAGGCGGCCTGGGCCTCTCTTCTACTCGCGTATACTGGAACGCAAGATCAAGACGTGGTCATGGGAAGTGTTGTATCTGGACGTTTTGATCCTGACTCCGAAATCTGTATTGGTCCGACTTTCACGACGATTCCTACCAGGTTGACGCTAGGCCAGATTCCCAAAGCCGGGGGAAAATTGTGGACAAACAAATCTGTCGTCGCTCATTTAGCGAGTCTGAACGCAAAAGCCCTATCCCATCTACAACCGCGTCTCGGATCGTTAGTCACCGCTGAGAGTAGACTTCCCTATGACACGGTTCTTGCCTACCAGGACTTCAGCGCCGGCTCCAGCACCAGTAGTATATGGAAGACAATCGATCATCCCCCAATGGCGAACGATTACGCCGTGATGATTGAGGTTTGGCCTGCCGCAGACTCGTCATTGACCCTGCGCGCAAGCTTCGCTCTCTCTCAGTTGGACCGCGACGGGGCCGAGGTGATGCTTCATCAATTGGACGACATCATTGCCTTTATTCTTGAGAATCCGGATGGAGATTTCGAGAATGCTCTGTTGTATACCCGTCCTGATCTCAAGGCATTATACAACCCAATGCCCAAGGAGGCCGATGAAGTTTTGGATGGAGATCTGATACATACCAAATTTGAGGATCATGCAAATTCACATCCAGACGACATGGCGCTTCTATTCAAGTATGACCTCGATGATGACGGAAATCCGCAGAACATCTCATGGACGTACGGGGAGCTCAATGCACGGGCTGATAATTTGGCAGCATATCTTTGCGAGACGTACGACCAGTTGACAAACACAGTAGTACCCATTTGTATCGAGAAGAGTCCGGCGATGTATATTGCAATTTTGGGTATTCTCAAAGCTGGCGGCGCATGGTGCCCCATTGACACATTTTCCCCCGCACAGCGTCGGCACGATCTAATCAAACGAACTGGAGCTAGAGTACTCCTCGTCTCCAGTGAGGATGGAGAGCAACCCAAGGATGCCATTCCCATCGATATCGACATCGTTGATGTTAGGAAATACGCTGATCCGCTGGTGAGTTGGCCGAGCGTCGGCCGAGGCAGCTCGAAGAAACTGTCGAGTCCGGCGGGCCTTGCATACCTGATTTGGACGAGTGGAACCACTGGTGCTCCTAAGGGCGTGCCTATCACGCACTCGGCTGCTGTGTCCTGTTTCAAGTCGCTCAAGAAGGACATACCATCCGACGTTTCTGGCGGTGTTGTGCGATGCTTGCAATTCTCTCAATACACATTCGATGTGTCAATCCAGGACCTCTTCTATGCGTGGAGCCTGGGAGGGGTGCTCATCTCTGCGACTAGAGAGATCATGCTTGGCTCGTTCGCAAAGCTGGCGAATACCACCCGAGCAACCCATGCGCATCTGACACCTGCCTTCGCTGCTGGTGTGCCGAGAAATAGTTGTGAAACGCTGGAGGTAATTACCATGATTGGCGAGAAGCTAACACAGCATGTTGCTGACGACTGGGGCACTAATATGAGAGCATACAACACATATGGCCCGGCAGAAGTGACAATCGTTTCAACCGTCCGAGAATTTGGGAACGAGTACATGAACATTAAGAGCGCCAATGTTGGCTGGCCCATGGAAAGCGTCTCGGTTTTCGTCACGAGGAATCGGCAAATTGTGATGAAAAACGCAGTTGGGGAGTTGGCGCTGGGTGGTCCACAACTTTCTCCGGGATACTTGAATCAAGAGGATGTCACCAAGGCGAAGTACGTCTGGAGCGAAGAAGCTGGACAGATTCTCTACTACACAGGAGATCTTGTTCGGATGCTCGCTGACGGGTCGCTGGAGTTCATGAATCGTGTTGACGACTTGGTGAAACTTGGTGGCATTCGGATTGAATTGAGCGAGATCAGCTTCGCGCTGGGTGGTTGCCACCCACTGGTTGAGAATATCGAGACGCTCTATATTGACCGCCCAGATCGACCAAGCAAGGTCCTCGTTGCTTTCCTCTCTGCCTCGAATGCGACTGGAGCTGATGCTGGTGATGACCTTCTACTACTCAATGAGTCTGCTCTGCAGATTGCTCTCTCTTCACGCGAGAAGGCGCATACGGCTCTCCCTGCTTATATGATTCCGTCCGTGTACCTCGTCGTGAAGCGCATTCCTCGCACGCAATCCGCTAAAACAGATCGTCGCGCGCTGCAAGCTGCATATGCTTCAGTGGATATTGAGGACTGGGAGAATCGGATGAATCCTGAAAACAATGCTACAGGTCACCCGACAGACGACCCAGTGGCATCCAACGCAATGGAAAAGATTGTGCAAATGATAGCCTCCCTTATCAATATTTCACCTTCGGTTATAACTAAAGCGAGCAGGCTTAGAAGTCTAGGTATTGACTCTATCCACGCAGTTCGTCTCGCATCAAGACTCAAAGAGGCCGGGTATCAACTTTCTTTCATTGAAGTCATCAACTGTGTCACAGTACAGGATTTGATCCGACTATCCACATCCTCTCCCGAGGCTGATGCAGCGCCGGCTGCCGAGTTTGATATTAACCTCTTCAATGATCAGTGGCACGACATCGTGGCCTCGAAGGTTGACGGCGAATTTTTCACCGTGAGAGCAACCCCGATCCAGGAGAGCCTGTTGAGTGAGACAATGGGTACTTATAACCTGTACTGGAGTAATCACTTCTTTTCTCTTGACCGATCTGTTGATGTGACACGGTTGAAACAGGCTTGGCTTGCACTTTGTCAAAAGAACGAGGCCTTGCGAACTGGGTTCATTCCAGTTGCCGAGGTGGATAACAGCTCTCGCAAGGATGATCTGGACTTCTCTATCTTGCAAGTTCTTCATGATCACCCCACTCTCGATTGGGAGTATGTGGTGTGCGAGGAGCATGAGTGGGATCGATTGCTTCACTCTCGCATCGAAGATATCATAAAGGCGCACCAGAAGACATATTTCAAGCAGCCTCCCTGGGCAGTTACTGTTTTGGACAAGGGCATAGAGAGGGTTATGGTACTGACTATCCACCATTCTATCCATGATGGACCTTCCTTAGATCTGATCGAAAAGGATCTGCGCTCTGCGTATACCGGCAAGCCACCCTCCAGGTATCAACTTAGGAGCGCGCTTTCCAAGATCCTTTTGACAGAGGAAATGGCGGCTGGGAACCGAAGCTTCTGGAACTCTGAGCTACAGAAATACTCTGAGCTTGATGCCCCGGCCTGGCCGGACTTGACAGGGAAGAGGATGCCAGAGACCGCCGCACAGGAGCACAATCTTATCTCCGAGCAAATACGCATGACGGAGCCTCTTGAAAAGCTTCAATCCATCTCGGCCGAGCTGGGTGTCTCCTCCATTGCTTCGCTCATTCGTGCGGCATGGGGATTCGTGTCTCTGAGTTACCTTGGCGTTCCAGCGGCTGTGTTTGCTGAGACAGTTTCTGATCGTGTACTGCATGCTGACCTCGACAATGGCATTGGTCCCTTGATTTCCGTTGTGCCAGTGCCATTTGATCCCAAAGGAACTGCCCGGGAGGTTCTTGCAGAACAGCAGCGTATCTCTACCCAGTCGAGGAAGTACCGCCATATACACGCTCGCGAGGTGCGCAGGATGTTAAAACGGCCTCGTGGTGAGCCCTTGTATCCGGCAGTATTCGCCTTCCACCCGGCAGGTGCAGAGGCCGGCGCCACGACTGATCCCGGCCTGTGGCGTGAGCTTGAGGATCGAATTGGGTTGCACGTGGAGCACCCTATGGCATTCAATGTACTGCAGAATGCTGATGGATCCCTGATCCTAGAAGCGTTTTCCGATGCATCTCTCATGAGTCATGAACACCTCTCTATCTTTGTCCGTCAGGTTGACAGTCTCGTCAGCGCGATGTTGGTGAACCCAGACAAGGAGCTACGTGAACTCATCAACCACCTTCCCCCCTCACTCAAATCCAAATCGTCGCAGCATGTGACTGAGGCGGTTAGAAACTCAGTTACCCTCAGCCCAACGCACTGGCTGGAGCTCAACGCCAGGGAACATCCGGAGTGGACAGCCGTCGAAGTGGCCAGCAGCATCAGCGCAAGCGGTATCGAGAAGCAAAGTATGAGCTATGGTACGCTCAATGCTGCCGCGAACTGCGTGGCGGCCTTTATCGCCTCTCTGGGATACAAAAATAGAATGATTGCGGTTTGCGCTGGGCGAAATCTTCCTTCTTACCCCGTCATTGTCGGTGTCTTCAAATCAGGGAATACATATCTCCCCATTGACGATAACCTCCCAAATGATCGAAAAGCATTCCTCATCGAGGATGGAAACTGCCCGCTTGTCTTCACCGAGACCGCATTTGCGGCCACATTCTCAGATGTCCCTGAGACGTGCCGTGTGATGTGCATTGATCATCCCTCTTTCGTCGATTCGCTGGCAGGCATGCCCACCGACAATCGGGCTTATGCAAGTGCTCCACAAGATAATGCCTACCTGCTTTACACGTCAGGCTCTACAGGAAAGCCTAAGGGTGTCATGGTGTCAAGGGCGAATCTGTCGGCATTCATTGAATCGTTCTCGGAATTCGTTTGTCGAGTGGCGCCATCCACTCTGGAACTTGGTGGTCGAGGCCGATATCTTGCACAGGCCAGTCGAGCGTTCGATGTCCATTTGTTGGAAATGTTCTTCGCCTGGCGTCATGGCATGGCCTCCGTAACTGCCGAGCGAACAATGCTTTTGGATGACCTTCAGTTGACAATCACGAAGTGGGGCATTACTCATGCCAGCATGGTGCCATCTTTGGTTGACCAGACGAATCTACGGCCTGAACTTTGCCCGGAACTCAAGTACCTGAGTGTTGGGGGAGAGAAGATTTCGAAGAGAGTGTTGGACACTTGGGCTGGGTTGCCGCATGTTGCCCTGGCAAATGCGTATGGACCAACAGAAGTCACTATCGGTTGCACATTCGCCCTTGTTGGCAAAGAAACCACCATTCGGAATATTGGGCCTCCCTTGAGTGCCTGCGCGTGCCATGTTCTAATCCCCGGAACTATGGACTATGCCCTTCGTGGTCAAACGGGAGAATTGTGTTTCACCGGTGACATTGTGGGCAACGGATATCTAAACAGGCCGGATGCGACTGGGTTTGTGCAAGGCCCTGACGGCGAAAAGATGTACAGGACCGGTGACATTGGTCGCTTGATGAGCGATGACTCTGTGGAATACGTTGGTCGAGGCGACGACCAAACCAAGATCCGCGGGCAGCGGTTGGAACTCGGGGAGGTCTCAGAGGTTATTCGTTCCTCTTCTCCTGTTGAGATCGGCGTGGTCACCACGGTTGCGAAACACCCCGGTCTCGCGAGACCACAGCTCATCTCGTTCATTGCCCGAGCTGGGGATAGGAGCCGTCAGCGTAGCGGAGATGCAACTATAATTCACTCTGACCTGGCGACGCTGGGCAAGGAACTCCGGGACGCCTGCCAGCGGAAGCTGCCAGCCTACATGGTTCCCGAGATCATCCTGCCTATCACCTTTATCCCGCTGGCCCCAATGTCAGGAAAGGCAAATATCAAGGAGCTGCACAGCATGTTCTCAAGCTTGCCTCTTCCGAGCATTCTACTAGGAAACAATCCGGGAACTAGCGATACTGCTGCTTTTACTGGTAGGCCTTTGACTTCCGACGAAGAAGCTGTAGTCAACGAAATCTGTGCTGTGATCAGGATTGAACGCGAGAATATCAATCCATTGACAAATATTTTTGAGATCGGCTTGGATAGCTTAAGCGCAATCAGCCTATCGGTGAAGCTTCGGAGGATAGGATATGACGCTACTGTTGCCCTTGTGATGGGCAACCCAGTCGTCGAGCAGCTTGCTCAGCTCCCCAGGAAGTCAACCGAGGCCGCGGCAGATCCGCACAATTCAGAGTTGACGAAGAGACTCGCTGAGCTCGAGGCAGAGTACCACAAGAGCTATACCCGGGCTGCGAATTCTGGGCAGGTAGTCGTACGGCCATGTCTTCCTCTTCAGGAGGGTCTTGTTGCACGATCCATCAACAGTGAGAGAGACCAGCTCTACGTCAACCATATTGCTCTCACGCTCGATCCCGGTCTTGATTCTGAGCGATTGAGGTTTGCATGGCAAGATACTGCTGACAATAATGAGATCCTCCGGACTTTCTTTGCTCCTTTGGAGAAAGAGATTGTTCAAGTTGTTCTCACGCCTGGCGGTGCAATGTCATGGACGGAAGACGCATACGACAGCCTCGAGGACTGCATCACACAGCAAAGAGCGAAGCAGCAAGAGATTTCTCGCGGTATCATTAAAAATATCACAGACGTCCCTCCAGTACGATTCCATCTGGCAACATCGTCATCGAAGCATCCGTTGGTTTTGTTCATCGCAATTCACCACGCGCTCTATGACGGCGAATCATTCTCGATGCTCCTGGAGGACGTTGCAGCGCGTTACGTAGGAGAGCCTGTGACCCAGCGAGGCTCGCCAGCTGCCTTCATCAACCATGTATATGGTCAGAACCTGGAGAAGGCCCAGCAACACTGGGTGAGCTCGTTGAGTGATTGTCGGCCTACAATCTTCCGTGTTGACACCGGTGTTGTAGAGGAGACCACCTTCGTAAACAGAAAGCTCGGTGCCGGCCTGGCTAAACTTGAACGCCTTTCAGCCGACTTGCACACCACTGTTCCATCTCTGATGCAAGCACTCTTCGCGCTTCTCCTGGCTGATAGAGTCAACTCGTCCGACGTCACTTATGGACTTGTGCTCTCTGGTCGAGCTGTGGCGGTCCCTGATGCAGATTCCGTGCTCCTGCCTTGTATTACAACCATTCCGGCTCGATTGAATACCAGTGGCTTGACAACCGTCGCTGATGTTGTCCGGTCCGTTCACCAATCAACCGCCCGGTCTCTTGAGTATCAGCACACCTCACTGCGTCGTATCCAACGTTGGCTGAAGTCGGAAAAGCCTCTCTTCGACTGTCTGTTCTCCTACATCCGCAGCACACCAGCACCCAAGCAGACTCTCTGGGAACAGCTTGAGAGTACCATGCCTTCCGAGTACCCGCTTGCTGTCGAAATCGAAGCGAATAATGAGACGGGCGAAGTGTACGTTCACTGTGGCTTTTCGCCATCGTTCGGTTCGGCCGACCGCGGGCAAGAACTTCTTGAGAAACTAGACGCACTGTTATCGGCCTTCTTGTCTGGAGACGACATTGCATTGGACAGCTTCAGCCTTGCTAACTCTGGGAATTCCGGTTCACCTGCAAATGAGGTGAAATGGGACGCAACAACCTGGTCTACGACTGAGACGAAAATTCGTGACCTCACTGCGACTTTCTGTGGACTTGACGTGGTGAACGTGTCGAAGGGGACGTCATTCCTCAGCCTCGGTATTGACTCAGTGACGGCTATCCAATTTGCACGGAAACTCCGCGAGCTGCAGTTTGAAGTCGCGCCGTCAGATATCATGCGCTTCCCTTGTGTTGGTGCATTAGCCAAACACATCGATGAGCGTTCAAGTGGGGGACGTCAATCGGCACGCTCTGGAGACAAAAAGCCCAGAGTCTCGCTTGCTGCTCATCGTGACAACGTTCGTCTTCTTGGTGATGGAGATTCAGTGGCGGCAATATTTGAATGCACGCCTCTGCAAGCGGGCATGATCACTCGGACCCTGGGATCTGACACTCAGGTTTATGTACATCCCCACATTGTTCGACTTACCGATGGTGTTGACATTGATCGTCTCAATGAGGCCATTGCAGAGGTCGTCGCGAAGAACGATATTCTCCGGACCTCGTTCCACCCCATCGCTGAGAATGGAGTGACCTGGGTTGGTGCGGTCCACGCAAATCCTCCTCTACAGTGGAAGGAGATCACATTGTCTTCGAACCCGGATGTCATCGCCGAGCTAACCTCTCTCTACTCTTTCCGGGAAGTCGCCGATTTCGAGACTCCACCAGTCAGATTTGTGCTGGCTCATCGCGAAAGCGAGAAAGTTTTCGTTGTCCTCATGCATCATGCTCTTTATGATGGTGTCTCACTGCCTCTCCTCTTTGAGGATTTGACCGCTGCTTACCACAATCAAGCTACGGCAGAGCGGCCTCAATTTTCTGAGATTGCCCACTACATCGTGGAAGGTCAGAACGACTCTTGTGATTTCTGGACCAAGAAACTGGCTGGCTATGAGCCTGTCGAGATTCCGGCGCTCTCCTCATCCGATGCTACTGAGCGCATGCTTCTTTCAGAGCGCAAAATCGGCCTTGACGTGGAGAAGGTCGTTGAAAGTTGCAAGGCCATGGAGGTAACCGTTCAAAGCGTCGCCCTCTTGGCATATGCAAAGGTCCTCGCTTGCCTGGTCGGGAAACGCGATGTTGTCTTTGGTCAAGTTCTCGCTGGTCGCTCATTACCAGTTCCCGGTGCCGACCAGACTATTGGCCCGCTGTTTAACACTGTAGCTCAGAGGGTCTCGTTTGAGCCTAAATTCTTGAGCAACCGCGAGATAGCGCAACGAGTCCAACAACTTACCTCTGAGTCACAGGCTTTCCACCATGCGCCTTTGAAGGATGTGCAGAAGGCTCTGAGGCAGGAACATGGCATGAATGCTGCCACGCTGTTCGACACACTTTTTGTATTCCAGAAAAGTGCCGATCTCACAACAGACACGCCGCATGAGCAGCAGATATGGAGACCCTTCGAAACGGACGGATACGCCGCGCAGGCTGAACATAAACTCAATGTGGAGGTAGATCACGGTCGAGAGGCTATTTTCGTCAGCGCCTCGGGCGACGGACGCTACATTTGCCAACAGGCGCTTGATGAGTTCATGACGGATTTCTGTACAGCATTCCAAGATATCATTGATCATCCTACCCGATGCGCCACTGCTGCACCGGAGCGGCTTGGGGGACTGCCACTTCGGCTGTCTAGGGCTGAGGAACCTGAACGAGGTCACAGCGAGTCCGATGCTCCTGCACACGAGTCGACTGTTCGTGACGTCCTCGCTGAGGTGGCTGGCGTTTCAGTCGACAGCATCACGCCAAGCACCAGCATTTACAACATTGGTTTAGACTCATTGTCTGCCATTCGAATCGCTTCAATTTGCAGAAGCAGAGGATTAAAGGCGAGTGTAGCTGATGTTTTGCAAGGAAATACCCTACGGGGTATCAGTGCACGGATTGCATCAACCGTCGAGGGACTCATCCAACCTCAGGGGCCCTTGATCGAAGATCATGAAGCCGTTGAAAAGGCAGTTCTTCAGCGGCTCGGACTAAACAAGGACGCAGTCGAGACCATCCTGCCATGTCTCAGCGGTCAGCTGTACCATCTTGCCAGCTGGCTAAAGTCCGGCCGAACCTTGTTCGAACCTGCCTGGTCTTACTACAGCAGTGAGCGTATCGATAGTGGGAAGCTTGAGGAGGCGTGGAACCAGCTCCGTCAACGACATCACATTCTTAGAACTTGCTTCGCGGCGACTTCACCATCAATGGCTGTACAGATCGTGCTTAAAGACGCACCACAGAACGCGGAGATATTCAAGGTCATCGAGTCTCCTGCATGCATTGAAGAAGCAGCAAAAGCCCAAGCTAGGGAAGAGGGGCTGAATCCATCATCTTTGTTTGTCCCTCCTGTCCGCCTCCGTCTTCTGAAGGCTAGCGACAAGGACGGAATTCAAATTTTCATCAATCACGCTGCATACGATGCGTGGACCATGCCAATGCTTGTCTCTGAGCTCGCACAGCTCTACCGCGGACAATCAGTCGAGTCAAACCCAGACTTCCCATCTTTTGTCGAACACGCCACGCGCTCCCTGCGAGAAGCCGACGAACAAACCTACTGGTCTTCGCAGGTCGGCTCCAGCCTTCCCACGCTCATCAAGCCAACGTACCAGGGACTCCCCAGGCAATCATTTGTCGGCGTATGGGAGAAGGTCAAGAACCTGTCTCAGCTAGATAGGACCTGTCGTTCCGCAGGCCTCAGTCTACAGAGCGTCGTCCTACTGGCCGTATCCCGCTCTCTCGCAAGAATGACCGGTGTCCAAAACCCCACTATCGGCTTGTACCAAACAGGTCGCTCTGCCTCGTTCAATAACATCGAGAATCTCTCCGGACCCTGTCTAAACGTTACACCGTTTACATTCCCCAGCCCCGGACCAACAGCTGAGAGCAACGCGTTGGACCAAGTGCAAGCAATCCAAAACTCTCTTGCTGAACGCGTCCTCTACGAGCAGAGCTGTCTCCGCGATATCCTGGACAGCTGGGCCAGTACGAAAGGCAAAGGACCACTGTTCAACACCTGGGTTAATCTCCTCTGGATGCACCAGCCCTCTACTCGAGGTGATTCAAAATCACACACAGATCTCGATCTCTTCCAGCCTCTGCGGATCGGTGTGCCAACGGACTTCATTCCCGCTACCCCGTTACCGGACCCAAGCGGGGAGACGACCTCCATCTCGGCGTTGGATACCTCATACCTACCTGATGAAAATCTGTATATTGATATTGGGCCTGATTATAGTACCGACACCATCGGGTTTGGTGTCCGTGTAGAAGGTGGACTTTTGACTGAGAAGGAGGTGCATGAGATGGTGGATGATGTTAGTGGTGAGATTGAGGGGATTATGGCTGCCATCCAGTGAGGAAAGTCTCGCTGAGAGCTTTGAGCTATGTTTGTATGTTTCTAAAGAGAAAGATGAGGAGTCCAGAAGTGCACTGTGCCGAGTGGACTGACTCCATGATCATGTTTGAATTCCGCTGGATAAAGCAAAGATAGACTGAATGAGCATACACAATAGATAGAATTTCATGTTTAGGTGATTGACCAGTCTGGATGAGCGACAAGAGCATGTCCATAACCTTAGAGTCTCGAGTGGAAGAAATGAATAAAAACGTGAATGAACCCCTTTGAATCATCGTCTGATACGAAAGAATATCTAACTCTGTAGATCCACCTAGACGAAGCTACATATTTGGGTTTCGAGTTCAGCTACACCCTTGTGGCAGCGTAGTTTCCATTCTCCCATAAATTCAAGGCCAAGCTCCAGCTGCAATCTCGTTATTCAGGTTATCGCATGCAATAAGCAAAGGCATCATTCCCTCTGCAAGATACCCCCCAAAAAATGCGGTGCACCCATCTTGCGAGGTAAATAGCTGAGGGAGCAGAGAAGATGTGCATCCCGTGCAGACTGTGAAAATTAGACCTCTAACCTTTCGTGATGCCAACGACGAGTATGATCACACATGCAACTGTCGATTCATACATCCTGCAACGGGAAGCTCGTAATATCATTGGGCCAAATCCATTTCAAAATATAGGACCAATCAAGCATGGAAAAGGGGAACACTTCCTCCACGGGGCAAGCAAGCGCTGTGCAAGTCCTCTTGATGTCGAGGACACCAGGTTGAGGATTGGAGGATCTGGTCACCGTGAAATTATGCAAAAAGTGAGTACGGTAAGGGCCCGGTACGCATAATGGGGAGGCCTGAGGTTGCAGTTCTGAGGCTGGAAGAAGTCTGAGACTGGCGAGGCGCCTGGTGGATTGGGATGACAGTATGGTATTGAATATGCTCTCCGCCAGGCGATCATCAATGACTGCGTTGATGTACAATGCTCTGGCTTTCCGAACCTTGGCAGAGTCGTACCTGGCGAGAGAGTCCGGTATAGTGGAAGGATCTACATTGTCATGAGGGTCACCTGCATTGGGGATGTAATGGAGCTTTACGCAGAGGTGCACTAGAGAAGGGAAACGACCGAGTGCTTTGTAAACATTTACCTCGGGAGCTAGACCCTGCACGCGATGGACGGTGAGGTGCAGCTCTCGGAGGACGGGGCACTTGTTCGCAAAACGGGCAATTGCCCGCGCGTTGTAGTATGGACGTGTCTGTCCCTGCGTGCGGACGTCGTGTTGAATGTTGCGTGAGTCTAGTCCGAGGCTCAACAGGGTGGCACCGTGTCTGGACAAGACCTTGCTAATGAAGGATGCGTTGCGGTTTCCGACCAGCCAGAGACCCTTGAGCGGTGGCAATGACCCCATCATCTCTTCCACCGAGCGCCAGTACCCGACGCTTCTCCTGGGTGTCACCCGTAGGTTGAGTTCGAGCCGTTCCAGACGCTGAAAGGACGGTGCAACCGCGCAAATCGTTCGAGCGAGGGTGGAGTCATCAATACGGCCAATGCTCCATGTACGCAGATGTCCTATATCGGTCTTCTGACGCCATTGATTGAAGCGCTGGACTGACATCGTGGTGTTTAGGGAAAATGACAAGGTTTCGAGACGGGCAATGGTATCGGATGCTTCATCAGTCGGCTCGAAGCGGTAGATACGCTGGTCGACAAAGTCAATCTCCGGCACCAGTACGAGATCGACCTTTTTCAAATTTGGGGCCAGAGATAGCGAGCGCAGAATGGCTGACTCAATTACCTCGTCATTTCCGGCATTGCGATAGTAATAGCAGCGGATCGAGTGGAGGCACGGCGAGGTGACCACAGCCATATCCTTATCGCTAAGACCTTGGTATTTCCAAGCTTGGAGGTAGAAGTAAAGCAGGTTCAGCTTGCAAGAAGGGTGATATTTGTGTAGAGCGTCCAGGACTTCTTGCGGGAAGCGCAGAGCACGAACCCAATTCAGCTCTCTCAGGTTCGACACGGCCGCGATGAACCTCGCGAGCGAGGCATAGTCGGGGGTAGTGGTTTCCCTGCGACAAAGCCGGAAAGTGTGCCTCTGCCAGAGTTCACGACCGAGGAAATCATCCAGCATGATAGGTCCCTCTTCATCTTCCTGCAAAGCAGCTAGCTGGAGACTTTGCTTCCCGCTTCGCCCGACGAGGTCCAGACGACGCAGGTATCGAAGGTATTGCTTGCGCAGGGGATGCTTCAGCAGCTGTTCCACGTCTCCTTGGAGTTGCGCCGTCGTCGTAAGACATAGCTGCAGTCTTCCGTACAGAAAAGGCACGGCAGCCTGATACCAGGTATGGTTCGCAAGACTCAACGCTTGCAAAGTCTCCCTGCTGGTTTCCATGACCTAGATAGCTTATGTCAGTGGACGCATTCATTCAGGAAAGGGAACACTTACTGATGCACATAACATGTGCTTGATCTCAAATGGAAGGTCATCCATGTTTGGGAATGTGGCAGATGAAAGGAGGAAGGAGAACTGACGGTGAGTGATCTGCCTTTTATATCAGAGAAAGCGAAGAGGGGGTGAAGCAGTACGCATTTTTTCCCATTCTTACACACTTTTCCACATCTTACACATCCATTCACATTAGATCCCTCCTTGACATTCTCTCGCTCTTTAATTTTGCTTCTGTGCTCTTCTTCCATCCTCACCTCCCTTCACACGCTTCTGCTGAGGTGACGGGCTTGTACAATGAAAGTTGCACTGGAGTGCCATCAAGCTCGAGAAAGTCACTGAGAAGGATAGCAAAAGCTGCTTAGGTGACTTCATTGGTTCCCACACTTATGAATAAGAAGCAATATTCTCAAACCGGAGGCGATGCACTGGAGAGATACACTGATCAACGTGCCTTCCATAGCAGCCAAAATGTAGAGTGTTATCCACCAAGTCCGTATCGGCAGTGATATCCTTCCCTCTCAGTCGTGGCACAATCCAGCACACACGGAAGGTTGAGAACATCATCTCATTCACTTTCATGATCCCTTATCAGGTTTGTTGCCGGTGTGAGTTAGACGTCTACTGTATCAAACCTACAGAAGTAATACGAACTACACGGTTGGGGACATATCGTAGCCTCAACCCTTCTTCTGACAATACAAGTTGCTTCACTAATAAAGTCCAATATGTCTAGATCCTGTAACTAGCTAGACAATAGACCAACAGATAATCCCAATCTATCGAGCATCATTCATACAAACCATCATGCGGAGCCAGCTATCGACATATCCACATCATCTAGCATTGGGCAACGCTAGGAACGTTCTCGCAGCTCCCATAGGTCTGCCCGCCGGTGACCTCGACGTTCTTCCAGGTCCAATTCGAGCAGGCCCCACTGCCGCAGACAATAGCGATATTGTGCCCGCTTGACGCCACGGCGCCTTTACCACTGATGTTCTCCATGGTCAGGTCGGTGATGGGGATGCCGGACGTCGGGTCACCCTTGAGATCGCCACCGTCGTAGTTTTGTTCAATGAGGATACCGTACCTTGACGGTGTTAGCTTGATCACCTCTATCTGTTATACGGGTAAGCCGAAGGGAACTGACTTGCGGATGGAGCTCAGGGTGATGCCTGAGTAGGTGATTCCCTTGATTGTGCCAGTCTTCCCTTTGGAGGCCTTGATGCGGAGACCTGCTTCATAGTTAGAAGTTTACTCTCGGCAATACAACGGGGTGATGGTACCATTGTCGGACTTCGTCACCTGGGAGTTCGTAAAGGACACATTCTCGACGGTATTATCAGACCGGCCACCAACGCTACCAATCGACAGGCCATGGCCACCGGAGCAGAGCCCACCGGTAAAGGTGATACCTGTGCCGGAGTTGACAGCGACACAGTCGTCCTGGTTGTAGACCTTGGCGCCTGAAATGATAATGTTGGAGCTGGATCCAATATCGAAGGCGTCAGTGTTGTGGCCGCCTTGGGTGTCACCGGCGGAATCGTCGATCGTCATGTCGGTGACGGTCAGGCCATCGCATCCGTTGATGCTAACTGCTTGGACGGGGGTGTTCAGGATGTGCAGATTAGTGATGGATGACGACGAGGTGAGGCCGTGCGCGGCGAAGAACTTGGGCTTCGTCTTGCCACCGTTGCCGCCCTGGCCGTCCCACCAGCGGGCGCCGTCGGGGTTCAGCGTGGCACCCGACGCACCCTCCACCTTGATGTTTTTGCCGGAAATCTGCAGTAGAGGACCGGACCACTCCTTGTAGCCCCAGGTTGTCTCCCCCTCGAAGATGACCTAGAGTAATTAGACTATTGCCTGGACGGATTGGGGGTTGACACCGGAGATGGGGTTCGTACTGTGGTGCCATCTGCCAGATCGCTAAGGTCCAGCGTCGTGCCAGCCGGAACAGCCACGTTTGACAGGACGATAGTGGAGCAAGCCTTCTGAGAAGCCATCGCAGCAGCGGCGCCGTTGGACCCGGAGAATGTGCAAGATGCGCGCTTCTCCAGAGTTATGGACGGCGCAACTGACTCAGCGAGGGGAGAGGCAATCACCTCGGCCGCAGAGGCGAGGAGCACGAGAGAACCTATTAGTTTCAGCATAATGATTGCGGTGACACCCAAAAGAAGTGCGTTGTTGATGCCTTGAAGAGAGTCACTGCTCCTTCGGTCGTTGATCCCTTATATAGGGTATATGATGCCTATACCTGGTGACCTCGTTTCCGGCATTGATGAAGAACCCTAGTGCTCCTCTGGGCTGCAAAGAGGGCCCGTCCATTGTTTCTCCTCCAATACAGCATCATAGTGCTCCTCTGGTCCTGCTCTATTGGTGGTAAATATATTCCTCCATGAATGAAGCGACACCTAAGCAATATGAAGAAAGCTTATAACTCGGAAGAAAAGCACAAGCACTTCCGTGCAGTTGCTTGCTTCCAGGGAAATGCGGAGAGCAACCAATCGAAAGAGAGAAAACAATCGAGTAATGCACTTCATAATGTCAATATTCAGGGTCTTTTTTACCCCTAACGGCTGCCTCGGCGTCTCGGCTGACAGGAATGTCATTTACCCCAGACCGGCTATGTCATTTTTTTTTCCACCACTCGATTTACCGTGCGCGGTTTCGGCAATTTCCGTTGCAGAAAGGAAGCCCACCTTAGTCTGGCATTATCAGTCGTGGTGGCAGGGGTTCAATGTGCCTTTGGAGCACGGTTAGGCACATGTCCAAATATCCCGCATCGCGTCGGTAGAACTAGCCTAGCATCGCTAAAACACGACCGGACCTATGCAGGGCCACGACGGATTCTTTTCCGCGCCTCATCTGGCTGGAAACTTCCGTCGAAATGATTATGATAAATCAGCTACAGATAAACTTAGGAGTCTGCCAAACATCATGATGATCGAGATTAAATTATTTTCCAGACTATATTCGCAACGTATGCTATTTTAATCCAGCTCCAATCTCAGAGCGTCGTATTGCACATACACAGTCGCCGGTAGAATGGCAGTCTCCGTATCCGTCGCGTTGTACGGCAGATGCAGTGTCAGGGTATTCTCGCCGACCTTGAGCCAATCCGCAGGGAACTCCATTCGTGAGCGGACCTGGTAGCAGCTCACCGCAGAACGCACAATACAGCTGCTCGACTGGTTGAAGCCGATCACAAAGGAGAGGGGCTCCTTCTGGTCATTGATGTAGCTCTCATGGGAGAGGTTGATGTACGGCTCTGAGGCATTGTACACGTCGGTGTTGCCCGAGGCCGTCTTGGCACCGGCAAGTTGGATGGTCAGGGTAGCCTTCTTGGAATTGCGGAGCTGCTTCTTTGTCAGGGAGAAGTTGATCTTCCAGTCGTGGGTCGTGTTGTACTCGACATCCGGGTTGTCAGGCGTGGGGCCAAAGACAGACCAGTGCACTGTGTTGAAGTCCGTCGCCGGGTCGCTGCTACCGATCCTGTAGTCGATGCCCTTGGGGAGATCGGATTGCCAGTCGTATGCGCCCCAGTAGATCAGATACTCCGGCGGGTGCAGTGGGTGTGTTGGATCGCGTGCGACACCGTGGCGGAACTCGCCGGAGGACTTGTCGGGGGTACCAAGGCGCCAGACCTCTTTGCCGGCGGACTCGGCGTCCCATTTCTCTTTCACAGTGGTGGTCTTGCCGGCTTTGACGGTCACACCATCGCGCACAAAGTCGCCGAAGATGCCGTCAGCGTAGACGGTCAGTCGGTACTTGCCTTCGACAACACGATCGATGCGGAATTTGCCGCTAGTGTCAATGTCCGTCCAGTACTGGTACGAGGATGGAACGACGCTGTTATCCTGGAAATACTGGCCGTCCACAGTGAGGATGGCAATAGGATTGGTAGCGCCCTTGGGAAGCTTAACCCGACCGTCGACGCTGCCACGCTTCGAGGAAGGCACGTAGCCAACGACGTGCTTGGCGATTGAGTCATAGAACTCGGCGTTCCAGCTGGGATCAGCCAGCTTTGCAGCTTCTGACCGCAAATCCTGAAGGGAAGAGGTGGAACCCTTGCCACCGTTGAAGAGGTAAAACTGAGGGCCAAATGTCCGGTCAAAGCCATTGGTGATGTTTGGTGTGCCTTCACCGTGGTGGTTGGAGACAATATAGTTGTAGACGATACCATCGACGGTTAGATCGGAGTGCAGCGGACCCTATTTTGTTAGTTTCGTCAACGAACCGAGGCCAAGGGACATACTCCATAGTAAGTATCCTACTCATCTCGTTAGCACGGCATTTTGATATGTTGGAGCAATACTAACCTTCGTATTCATCACCAGCCACGCGCCGTAGGTCGAGCCGTTGGAGTTCGTGCCGTCTCCGTAAAGCCCGTGAACGTCGTTATCACGCCATTCTATAGTCCGTTAGACCAAATCGTACCACATGAGCGAATGCGACTTACGGTTCGAAAACGTGTACTTGGTGAAATACTCTGAGAATTGCGTGTAGTACGCATCGTCTGGAGTGTTGTTGAATCGCCACGTGGCGTCCTGAACGACCACCTGCTTGCTCACGGCGTTCTTGCTTGGCAAAGGAGCCGTCTGGAGCTCACTGGACGTAAGATGAGTCCACAACTGCGTGTTCGGCCGGAAGAGCGTGCGGAACTCTTGGAGGTTGCGAAGGAAGGGAGTGGTCTCGTTGTAATAAGCCAGACGGCTGAACATGTGCAGCCCTGTCTCTCCGTCACGCAGGAACCAGTATTGCTGGAACTGCTGTCCAGTAGGGGTATAAGTATCATTTAGGATGACTCCGGCGTAATTCGTTCCGGTCGAGTCAGTTCCTTCGACATACTGCATTCTCGGGTTCGTGGCGCCCGCTGTGTAGAAACCCGAGGGGACGCAGTAGCAGTCGAGGTAGGGCCCAATACCCGTAGAGCCGGATTGAGGTCCGAGAAGATCCTGGCCATCGAGGAACATATCGACAACTGATCCCTTGCTCTTGCTCCAAACAGCTTTGAAACGGTCATTGTTGAGAGTGATGGTGCTGTCATCCTCGGCGATCTGCAACGCTGCCAGCGCAACGCCAGCCCAGGCGCACGCCGCACCTAAAGGAATGGCGAAACGCATTGTCGAGGCTAACAGTCAACAATTGATCAACAGCAACGTGAAGTCCTCTCGCGGGAATCATGGGGTAACCCTGAGCTGTATTTGAACCCGCCTTGGACTGGCAATGATCATGGTCGCGGCATGGAATGCCCCGAGGTCACTTGGGAAGCAACTTTAAGCTCCGCTGCAGCTCCCAAGGAAGAGGCCTCAATCAGGGGATGACGGTGTTTAGCGACTTAGCCTATCAAGGAACGGGCCAAGACCGCGGGCTGCGGAGCCCCAGAAAACATGGGTGAAATGCGGGGAAACTGTTGGCCCAAAATGTGGCCCCATGGAGGCGACGGAAAAATTATTCGGCAATCATTAACCCGATGAAGCTCAAAGCCCAGACAGGGGTGAAGATTGAGACCGAAAACCGCTGCGGGGGAGTACGAGGCAAGGAGAGACCAAAACGCCACCGAGTGTGTCCTTGTTCCCACGTTCAATACCGGTAGAATGGGAGTTGCCTCATCTCGCGAAACAGTTGAATGCAACTCAATAAAGATTACTCGGCACGCTGTTCAGCCATGACATGTCCTGAAAATCAGGTATATCAAACCCATCCAGCAAGATTGCATTCATGCCTTCGCCGAGGGACATGTCGTTCGTGGTGTTGAAAGTGCTGGTTTGAGCATGGGTTGACGGCTCGTTCCGTGGCGGTCCTTCCGAAACGACCTTTTCGTAGAGGATCTCCAATGCTGCGACGCACCGTCGAGCTGATGAGCTGTAGCTGTGGTAGCTTCGCAATATTTCAAGGGCACAGTTCCAGGATCTGCTTATCGCTGTTTCCGTTACTTCTTCGAGGATAGCGGACCGGAGACGGCCGGCGATCAGGACCGTCGCTGCCGTGTAGACATCTTCCCTGTCAGTACATTCTCAGTTGCAGACCTTAATATGACTTACAGAGAATGTTGTACCACCAGGCTGGAAGTGGACCGGTAGTGCCGTCGGCAGGGATGTTGCTGTGGATTAATTCAATGACCTCTTGCGCGACCTTGACACAGATGATGGAGCACTGCTGCGCAACTCGCTGAGGGAATGAATCATTCACTGAGATAAGCGGATCATGTGGTGTAATCTCGCGAGCAGTACAGTATTTGGACAAAATCGGTCGGAAAAGAAGCATCCGGACATGTAGAAATCTGTGGTAGCCTGTCAGTTCGCATACCATTTGGGTGGGACAGAGGAACTTACCGAGCTCTCAAAACTACACTCTGGTGATAGAATACCGCATCCTCAGGCATGGAGGATGTATCTCCTCGGAGATGGGCCGGAAGACTCTGAGTCCATTTGGTGAGAGCTCGATCGAGTTCGAAGACCGTACGTTCGCTCTCGGCTGGTCCCTTGTTGAAGTAGAAATCGTAAATGTCTTCTGGGTTTTCTTCGGGGACAGGTTTGTAGAGGCTGAGTAGAATATCGTTTAGAATCTCGTAGAGCTCAAGGGACTTTGCGTAGAAAGCCATGACGGAAGGACGGTCGGTGGGTTGTCTCACTTCACCAGCCAGAGACTCGGGAATGTACTCTTCGTCCACTGTGGCCGGCAGCGGGACAGAGCCACAGGATGCCTTGGAGATCATAGCTGGTCGTCCGAATGTCATCGAGATAACCCTGTCCATAAGAACACATCCGTGCCAGATTTTCCGTGCTAGTTGCTGGTCTTGGAAGCTCGGTAGACGGGCAATGGTCTGTGGAAGATGCAGGCCGAGGCTTTGAGCGTTCCGAATCGCTAAACCAGTGACAATCCAGCATTGATGTGCCGAGTCGGTGCTTTGCAAGTATTGAGCCATCAGCAGAAGGCATTGTATCAGAGCAGCAGAGCCACCGTGCCAGAGGTTGAAGTGTAGGAGGTCTTTTGCACGAGAGAAGAAAGCATCTGCAGATGCTTCGCGCTCGTCAGGCGGGATGAAATCAGCCAATTGACAGGCTAAAGCAAAGATGACGTTGAACGTGCACATGAGCATGTTCTCGTCGGAGTCGAGCGCGTCTCCCGTCCAGATCTTCATATACTCCGCTCGCAAGTGGATGCTATCTACCAGCGGGTAGAGGGGAAACACAAAGCGCCAGTACACATCCATAAGGCTATCGGCAGTCTTCCTTGGGGGAAGTACATAGTTGGATATGGTCGAGGGTCTCTCAGTCCTCATAGGCAGAAGACTCGATTGCGGCGCAGTCCCCAGTATGGACTCAGATGTTCGGCGGTCGGGTGAGTCCACCCTCTTTTCCACGGCTGTTTTGATCTGACGCATGAAACTGGTAGCACTTGAGCTGCCAAAGAACCCTTGTGTCTGGCGCTCTTCCTCCAGGGAACCCATCATCGCATTCACGCCATCATCTCGTCCTTCAGTATCTAAAGGACGTTGCAAACGACGGTAAACTGCATTACCTGCAGCGAAGCCATTCCTTCCATCAAACCGGCCGAGAGGAACCCTTTGTGATGGACTGAGTTGCCCCGATGTCTGGTCTGAAGGTGAGACCTGATCGAACAGCGATGTAGACTAGTAACGTAAATCCGTGCTCTATGAGAAGACAAACTAAATACTGACCTGCGTGTAACCTGCTGCCTGCTGCCCACCCGGGGTCTCTAGATGTCTGATTTTACTTTCCAAACTAGCGATGTAGCTGCCCCAAGAAATCAACATCAGCTGGCAACCAACCTATTGATGCCTGAGGCAAACACTCACTTGCGCACAGCCCTGCGTTTCTCCGACTCACCAGTGTAAACACAGCGCGCATCCGATCGCTTCATACACGGCCCACAGACTAAAGCCCGAGGAATGAGAGACGCAGTCAGCAAGACGGTTCTTATTCCGAAGCAATATTGACGCGGAAGTCGGAAGAAAGCCAGCGAGACCTACCGGGTTGGATGCCGTCGCACCGGACCTTCCGCGCGCGACATTCATCGCACGCGACCGCGATTTTACGTCGTTTCGGAGGTTTTCCTGACACTTCGTCTGGGCGTGGGTGGTGAGGAGATGAGCTGCTCATTGATATGATATGTATCATGCAGTGGTGATTGTTGTGCAGGAATTGTTGTATTTCTGGTTGTGAGGAAGTACGTCCCGCACTTCCGCGTGCTCGGGAGTTGGACTCGGGTGCGTTTCCGGTTGCCTTGGGCAGGTGAGCATTTATTTCACTGTCCATCCATAATATCAAAGTTGTAGAATTGCACATAGTATCAGTAATTGAGTGATTTGAAAGTCGGTTTCACTACATAGACTTTATTATTGTACTCGTATATCTACTTGTGATTAGAATTGCCTTATTTGATCTCCCTCCTGAAATATATATATATTCCCTGTGACGGCCAAGGAGTACAATGGCAACGGTGCAATGGTGCCACTAAACATATAAAATCTATAGAATAATCAAAATGAGGGGAAGAATATAAAGATATTTCATTACGTTACTATGTAGAAGGTAGGTTTACTATCACATAGCGTAGGAGCTATCTACTAAGCAAAGATCACCTAATTAGATTCTGCCATACAAGTATGAGTTATGACCGCACACCCCTAAATTTAATTATTAAGGTTATAGCCACTTCCTACTAGGTAGTTGATCTATGATTATAGTATTAAGCTAGTGATCTACTATTTATATGCAAGAAGGTAGTGTTCTAGGCAGGTACTATCCCCAATAACAAAGGGTCACAACGCCATTTCACAGCGCATCTACTATGTATAGCCTCTTAGTACATTTGCTCCTTGATGTCTCTGCTGAGAAGAGGAAAGGAACGCTTGAAACATAGTTAATAACCATGTATACAGAATTTTGAGAGGCTATTCGAGAGATTGTGAGTAGCAAACAACCTTGTCAACGAAAGGATACTGAAGGATGGACTAAGATTTCTGATTGCTGTATTTTCTCATCCAATCAATCACAGTGCGATACCAAAGCAAATTATTTTCCGGATTTACAATCGGATTCCCTTCGTCTGGAAATACCAGGAGCGCACTATCCACGCCTCTGAGCCAGAGAACGTTGAAAGCGGCTAATTCTTGTAATTCAACTCGCAATGGATGACCAAATGGGGAGTTTGCCAGCTCGCATTCAATCGTGCTGGATCCCATTTCACCCACTCATCTAGAGATTCCCAAATAGGACCTCTAATTTTTTTGACAAAATGTTACTGATTGCTGGCTAACTAAGAGGTCATACTAAAACTCCTATCATGCGTCAGAAGGGCCTTGAACTTACAGCCAAGCTCATGACCTTGCATCCAGTTGACCATGTATCCTCCATAGCCAGCACCAACGGCGACGGAGCGAGCAGTGTCAATGTATTAGAGACTCTCATCGTGTTGCAGGTATTCAAAGCCTCACTTAAGATCTGTATAAGGGATGATATTGCTCCTCCTAATCCCTGATACCACCATACTTTATAGATAATGTCTCTGTTTGGTTGATCCCAGTGTTCTACAGGTTAGACATAGCATAAGCATGCAGTATGAGTAGCACTGTTGACTTCTCTATCCCTAGTGACAAATACCACAGCAAAGGGGTTGATTTCAAATTCTTATGAAGACTCTTCTCCTCCTAGAGGTGACATAGGCGACTCCAACCCCTCTAGTCCCGCAAATATCATAAGATTAGAAATGCCTGAGATACAGTACTGACTCCCTGTCTTAGACCCTCTTTGTAGAGATCCATACCAGATAGAGTTCTTTAATCTGCTCACATACGAGCATGCATCTCTGACTGGGAAGGTAGTGTAGAAACAGCTAGTGCTATAGCCAGTGGATTCTGCAATCTGCCTTGGGTTCACCAGAGAACCATCTGGGTTCAACCTGCCACTAATCGCGAACGTAAGATCATTGTCGTCGTCCTTTCGAAATGGAAGTTGTCCAGTCACTTTGAGGTCAAAGGCTTGGCCGGGGATTGTGCCAGCTTTATAGATCTTAGTGGTAGTGCACTCTGTGTTACCAACCATCAAGTCAGTGCTACCGCTTTCCAGCCACCACAGCTCCTTATTGTCATTCCCATTCCAGTAGGTGTCGAGTGTCACCCTAAAAGGTAGCGCGACTAGCTTGAAAGTAGCTACAAGGGGTAAATTCATACCCTGGGTCGCGAATAATCTGAACTGTCGCAGTAACTCCCCAGTGGGATTTGTATCTAGGCGCCTTGCCGGCGAGAACAAGATTAGGACCAACTTTGATTTAATTCAATCAAATCAATACTTCTATTTCTATTTCTATTCTCGTCTTTGTTTTTCCTTGTTGGCCTCTAGGGGGAATAAAGATCCTCATAAACAATGGTTGCACATGAACTATTTCCTCCAGCTAGCTTGAGAAGCAGATTAATGGCCAAGGCCAGATCTTAATAGTGCTACTATGAGTACATTCCATGTGTGTAATACTCCTTGAAGCAATGTACGCGCTACAATTGTTGATTGCTTTCATGTGACGCGGATAAACTGAGGGCTCTATATGAGATTGAATGTACTGACGCTGGCCTCATCAGCTTTTTCAGCACCGGTACAATTCGCGCGACTGGTGTGTCAATGAGAACGTTCGGAATTTTGGACTAAATACGCTTGGTTACTCGCCTATATTGCGCAAATCAATCACTTTACAATAATAGTACTCTGCATCAGAAGACAGGAGTGAGTTCGGTCAAAACTCAAGGCAAGTGCGTCAGTATCCGGATCTTCGTGAGTCACGGACGCTTTCTAGATGCAATCTTCCCAGATATTTTCTGTCATAACATCTCCAAGGGCATTAAATTGGCGCGAAGGATTTATTAAAGAGAACTGGGCCTAAAACCCAAGCCAGCTTACAAGGATAGAATTGCTTATGCTATGAGCTGCCGTCTAAGAGAAACTAATTGATTTACTACCAAGGAAGGAAGTGATGATTAAGAGTAAGGTATATTCTCGATTATTAACGCTCCTCAAGTCCAATAGGACAGAATGCACTAAATGGATACAGTAACAGTCCAGATGAGAGTCGACCATCAATCATCTGATCAAGAAGAGAAATTTTTCTGTCCGCCAGGAGCATGCAGCTGTACACCAAGTGCTATATGCAACCGTTGATCCCGAAGATATCGAACAAGGGTCTGGGAAAACGGCATCACTTGCAACTGGCTTAGTTGATGGAGCCGAGAGCAACGCAGGCTGGCGTGGCAACGTTGATGAGACCACCAGTCTAATATCGTGAGAAGAGTGCCAACTAGGGAAGGACTGAGGGAACTTACAGCAACAGACTTGTTGTCCTGGCAGCAAGCAACGTTCTGCTGGCATTGCTTGTTGAGGAGGTCGTTGACACCGATCAGGGCTGGGAAATGTTAGAGGCATAGTTTCTCACAACTTTTGATACGAATGCTTACCGGTGACGGAGATCTTCTGGCAGCCAGAGAGGATACCAACACCCTCAGGGCCGCTGATGGCGTTGCCGAGAAGGCCGTTCAGGATGCCGTAGTTGAAGGCGGTGGTGTCGCCAACCTTGGAGACATGGTTGCAGCAAGACAGAGTGGTGTGGTCACCGCACTTGTTCTGGGCCTGCTGCAAAGTGTACTTGTCGGCGCTGGCAAAGGTAGGGTGGACGACACCTGCGTTGGGGAGAGCCAGAGCGGTGGCAGCGAGGAGAGAGACAACAGCGAGGAACTTCATTTTGAGAATGGGTTGAAGGAGTTTGCTTGGAAGCGTCGAAAGTAAAAGAAGGTTGACTGAGTGAATGGGTGGATGGATAAAGAAGCAGAACAGCAGGATTTGACTGTCCTTTTATACCTTTGTCAACCCTCTTGGTTGCTGTTGTTTTCGAAGCAGACTCGCTGAACGTTTCCTCTTTCAATCACTCAACGCCACTGTTGGGCTCCTTGCTGGAACTCATTCAAGTGTCGATCATACTGAGGCTGGCTGAGATGAAGGCTTCAATAGTTCACATCCACAGATTCACGCAGGAACCAATCCTGCAGCACTCGGGCCACCGCACAGTGCTTCTTGTAGCACAGTTTGATAGCCATTAACAATAAATTCCCACCGATGCAATTATCCTGCAATTGAGTTTGGTGTACAAACTCTCGGACCTGCAGGGTGACAGGGGCTCATTCGGGGTCCCCCAAATGTGATATATGATATATCACATGTGGACCTCCGCATACTGCAGCCCCAACACCCACTGCAGCCTGAATGTCAACAGACTCTGCATAATTACTGGATTTTGTGTCTTGGAATTTGTTGTGCTTTTTTCGATTCGATTAATTAGACCTGCTAGTCCGGACTCAAAGCCAAGTAGGGCCAGGCAAGCCATGTGCTTGGTGTGGCCCCTGCATTCAATAGTTCAGGCTATCCCTTGCGCCCTCCTGAGAGCTAATTATGGTTCTTCAGTTAACTCTCGATAGTATGATGCCTAAGCTTTAGGCCTTGCTTTGTTTCTAATCGTATGTTTCGAGTTCATTAGACGTCGTGCTATGTGGAAATTGCATCGTAGAACGGTCTCTAAGAGAACGCAAATAGTAAATGAGTGACTGTCTCAAGGTCACGGATGTACCGCGCAAAGCGAGGAACAGTGACCCTGCTTGTTCGTAGAAAAAGCAATAATCTTGGCTTGGGTTAGTGGTACGCCAACTCATCATAAAGAACGTCCTGGACGTCAGAGTATTGACAGGTCCACTTCCTCCCTATTTGGCTTCATGATCGGCAATCCTTACCGTCTTGATCACTGTGATCTCGGCGTATTGTTTTAATTCTGTCTATACGCCCCGTGCTGTCCTCTGTAGTGTACTCTATATGACAAGGCTCAGAGAGTCCATTGACGGCGAGATGCTCAGTTTGACTTCAGGTTGGCAACCTTTTACCTCACTTCTCAAGCCAAAGGATAAGACGGAGTTGGACTTTGGGAGGATCCGAAGTTATACTCGGAATATCCTTGGAAGAGAACAGAACCCCAGACGTGCGAACTCTGTTTCTTAGGATCGACAGCGCTAGGTTCGGTTGCCTGGCTGCCATACCCTCAGGCCTCAATGGCGTCGCCTCCAGGATCTAACTTAGAAAGAGCTGCGACAGGGGTTTTATTATAAATGAGTTCAGTACTGGGCTAATGAGAATTATCTCTAGCTGATGGAAATGATACTGCAGCAGGAGTTCAACCTCTATCATTTCCCTTGCTCGGTCACCGCAACAGAGTATAGATCACAGCAAAGCAAAAAGTACGAACTGTAGTTTAGGTGCTGTAGTCATCAGGCAATGTGACGAATTGTCTGACTCAAAAATAATGCAAGGTCATTAGATCGAGGTCCTTACTACTCCGTACTCCGTATGTACTGCTGATCGCTCAGGCAGCACCCAGCAGGAAACACGGACTGTCGTACATAACTTCTGTCGTATGATTGGTCTTCTTGTCAGACAATTCAATACGCCCAATTGGCTCCAGACGTATCTGGTGCCTACTTCTACATTGTAGGTAGTCTACTTCGAGGTTCGTTGTTGCGTCAAATGACTGGTTAGGACAACGACCAGCTCATTCGAGCGATCATCTCCGTCCGAAAGTTGGCGCTTCAAAGACGCACAATGCTGAGCCTGATAGAAACGAAGCTTTCTTTTTCTAAGGAGTAATTGTTGGAGCAATCCGATTTATTGGACAGATGCTTCGATGGAGTGAGTCTAGGCCAGGTGAACAAAAGCCATGTATTGGGTTTTATTCGCCTCTGCCATGTCTCAAATGAGTCTGCCTATCTAGAAGAAGATAATGGAGATCAGCATACCCCGTACATACAGTTGCTGCTCGCACACTCCTCTCATTACTATTAGTCTTTTTATGCCTCAGTTTCATTGATCTATTATTCACCGACTCCACCATCGCCACTCTCCTACAGCTACGTGGTAAAAGCTCCGGGCTTACCTCCACCGACAACAGGACTCTCCCCTTCCGCTTCCACTACATTGCGACCTGACAGCTCATGTCTTGTCAGCGGTCCATCGGCTGCTTTCTCATGCACCTGGCCTCGGGTGATAATCCCCACACTGCTGAAGGGGTACGGCCTCCTCGAACTCACTCGCCTTCTCCATCTGACGAGGAGAACAGCCAACGCACCAAACACCGCTACTGATCCCACACCCACTCCAATCCCAATTCCTACTTTCGCGCCTGTTGACAGTGAGGAATCGCGTGGCTGCGATGCAGATGCAGATATCGCCGTTGAAGGCACAGACGCCGCTGTCGTGGCAGAAGAAGAGCTCGAGGGAGATACCGTACTAACAGAGGTAGATGCCGCCGTCGACGTCGATGCCACAAGCCCCACCGCCAGCGTTGGCGCAAGTGTGATCGCCTCCGACGTCCCACAGCACGCGGTGTTGTTCTGCCCACAGCACCAGGTCTTCGACTCGGGGGTATTCTCGCACGGCGTCAGTGGGACAGTATGCCCCGGATATACCTAACAAATAGCCATTAGCCAATGCTCCTGTTATCGACCGCAGAAGATAAATACCTCGCCCCCGGTACAGACGTTCAGACACCCATTCGTCGACCAGTCCGCGCTGGTGCACAGAGTTCGCCAGTAGGTGTAAACCATCTGGCCTGTGCTCACCTTTTGCACGATGTTCTGGCACAGTCCGTTCTCCAGACAGATGTCCGCCGTGAAGCCCTTGGAGTCTGGCCCGCCCGGGGAATTGGTGCGGTCGAGTGCGCAACACATGCCGTTGACGCCTTGGACTCTGCTACATGGTTGGTAGTGGTCGTCCGCGGTGCCGTTGGGGTAGTAGCAGGTCGAGGAGACGGGGGAAATTGCCAGAGAGAAGAGGGAAAGGAAAACTAGTTTCTTGGATGGTCTCATGATGACGCCTGATGGTTTTGATGGGGGAGGACATAACAAGGATGACGGGGAGGATTGACGCGTTCGTGGTTATCTATAAGGTGTTGTCTTGTCCGACAAGCTGAATCTTCTGACCAAGACTAAGACTTCTACGTAACCAGTCGGTCGCGGCATGATAAACGGAGAAGACCGATGGTATGTACTCTCCCTCGTAGTCGGCTTTATGCTTAAGAACACCTGATCTAGGAGTGGTTGAGATTTTGTCTGCTGCTTAGATGATCATAAAGTCGCTTCCGTTGTGAGCCGCAACTTTCCATGTTGGTTGGCTGGGTTTCTAGAGTGCAAGGCTGACTTTGTGGTTCCGACTGCTTCAGTATCAGCTGGAATGTTTACGACCGACCTTCCCGTTGTTCAGATGTCTCATACCTAAGCTCATATTCAAGCCTCTTGATTGATTGCTTATCCGTCCTCTAACTACTTAGTAATGATCGACGCGAGCCGTCGAATCAGTAGCGTCCAACCGGACGAAGGTTCCCTGTTCAGCTCGTCAGATTTCGTAAGGCTGTGTTTGCTTACTGCATACGCTGGCAGTGATTCGCTTTGGTAGTTGCCAACTTTCCGTGACTGCTGGATAAGCGACGATTCAATCCTCGAATATCTCTCATAGTCTCAGTTGCGTTTCTTGCGAAATCGGCATATTCAAGAGATGTTCAATGTTCAACACCTAGTCGTATATGCTCGTAATGTATCCTGCCATACAATATATGCCCGAGGTATATCGAAGGTATCATGAGTCACCAATCGAAGGACTCCTCTAGATATCGAAGTGATCGACATCCCCGCCGCATAGCCTGATGCACAGCCGCGCGGGCCTGATCAGCCATCCCCGAAGGCCCGCACACCAACACCAATACAGACGAACTACTAAGTCTCGCTTCTTCCGCATGAGCTGTAATTATCGCCTGCAAGTCGGGTCGTCCACACGCATATTCCACCCCATCCATAATCTCATCCTGAGACGTAGACTCGGAAGTAACATAAAACGAGACACGGAAGTCCTTCCTGCGAAGAGCCTGCTTCAACTCTCTCCCTGCGATGTCGCGCATGAGGGCTGGCTGCCGAGCGGTCCAGACGAGATGGATGCCCTGCGTCGAGGTCCGGCCGGTTGAAGAGCGGAGGATGTGATCCTGGATGTAAGGTACCGCGGCGGCGATCCCGGTCCCGCCTGCGATCAGTAGGACGGATTCATACTTCCAGAGCGGACATTGCTCGCCGTACGGTCCTTCGAGGAGGATGTTTGGATGAATTGTCCGAGTTGGTGATTGCAGGCATTGATCGCGGAGATGGCGAGTCCATCCGTCATAAGGTCGGATCCAGAAACGCAGTGCGAGTTTGCGCTCTGGTGGGTCGGCTGAAGTATCGATTGAACCATAGTCTGAGCCCGAACTGGGAGTGTCAGGTAGAAGAGGAATTTCCGAGACATCAGTGGTCGAGTCACGTTTTAGACTACGGCATTGAGTTGAAGGTGCGCCATCTTTATATGACCACGACCCCAGCGTGAACGGGTGACTTTCCCACCCCGTGAGCCGGAAGGGTTGGTAAAGAAAGTAGTATTGTCCTGGAGCTGGCTGCAGACCTGAGCCGGGGGTTAGCTCCAAGTGAATGATATCAGCAGCCTTGTCGTATGTTGCAACGCATCCTGTGCATTGGAAACGGCTGTGGGAACCGAGTCGGACATGCAAGTTGCAGTAGACTACCCGAATTAGGCGCAAGACTCGATCAGATATCCAGATCACAACGGCCGGCCAGAGATAGAACCAATATTCGTGATCCTCAAATATGATGACGTGACTACACATGTTAGAGGGAAAGGAGACCTCTTCGAGGAAGATGCACTCACTAGAAGCAACCGACAAGAGCGACAACTGAGAAGAGAATATGAAGGACGAGAAAGGTCTCATAGGCTCTTCGTCGAAACCAGTCCACCGCAAATGGGAAGACCAATATCATGGCGAGCATAGCCTGTCATGATCAGTCACGCTGACCGATTTGAACTACCGGAAGAATGGGCTAGCTCACCAGTGTGCCCCATAAGAGATAAGGCTTCTGCATCTTCTTCCACGCATTTCCCGCTGAAGGAATCATAAGCGATGGTACGTACCCAAGTGGAGAGGACAACCCACCTTGAATGAACAAAACAATATACAGAATTGTATGCACAACTGCCTGAAGGGTCGCTATCCAAGCCACATGGCGATGGAAGATGTTGAAAGTCGAATAACTCCATCCGGTAGCCCAGAGAAATATGTTATTCCGACCTGCGAATAACCATAATAGAGGTATGTTGGCAAAAGAGAGGATCCCGGTGCGGTCTGCAACATACCGCAGGAGCTGTGCCGATATTTCGGGCCAGCTGCAGCCGTCAGCATGTGCAGATGAGCTTCACTCGCGGACTTACTAGATATTGTCCGAAAAGGTTCGATAACCGATGAGGCAGAGCACGATGCTCAAAATCCAGAAAAGCAAGACGACGATCGCATGGATGCGACCTGGGAATGTCCACCAAAGAAGCCGGCGTCTGCTCGATGCGAGGGGAGCGGGAATAATCAAACTGGTTTGTATCCAGTAATATATCAACAGTAATGAAGGGAAAAAAGGTAGCGACCGCGCTCGCTTTAAGGAAATCGCATGGAGAGCCAGTTTGTGCAGAGCTCCGGCGGCGATGACAACGGTCCAATACGCATATCCCAGGTATCTAACCCATCAGCTCTACCTCGAGGTTCCATCGAATCAATGACTTACCCAAATGCATAATGCGACCAAAGCTCAAATTGCCAGGCATCCTGTCTTGGTAAGCATGTGATACTGTATCAAACACCCTGGCATTCTCACAATTGTTCTGAACACACGACTGTAGTACGATTCGGATATCAAAATAGGAGTGTCAACAGGTTCCTTGTTCGGCAGCTCTCCAAACTCAACCACCCGCATCCGACCGATTACTTCATGCGTCAGATTCGCGGCAAACTCCTCTCGAGGAATTAAGTCGACACCGGCATATTCTCGACATTGGTCCTCGAGCTGTGCGAAACCTGTTTCTCTTTCCGCGTCTGAGCAATATACGACAGAAGCAGCGTAGATTGATAGCACGCGTAGCCGATTCCGGCATCGTGGCGCCCACAGGCCTTTATTTGGTCGCCCCGAGAAAGAAATATAGTGGTACGCTGTGTAGACAGCTGTTACACAGCGTTCATTTGGCGGAATGATCTGTGATAGAGCATTTTGCAGGTGCAATAGGATTATTAGGCAGCTGAAGAACAACATGGTTGGCCATGAGGAAGGATGAGAGGAGGGGAAGAAATGGAAGTCGGCGACAGTATTGGGATCAGGTCGGACCACAATCGGAAGTCAGAGGTGACCCACTCGAAGAACTGAGATAGTGGTGTCAGTCTCGAGAACGGGGGTCGGACAGGTTATCTCGACTCTTAAGAACAATATCAGCGCCAAATAATATAGGAAGACATGGTGGGACACATGGATGCACACATCTGGATGAAGATATCCTAGGGTCCCCAAATTGATGGGATTTATCTAATCTGATCATCAAGATCAGATAATGAGGTGACTCGATATGATTGGCTGACAGTTTCCAATTTTGCCTCGACTTCGGGGAGGATCGGATTTCTGCCTTAGGTAGGTAGGTAGCCGTCACGTGTTGTTAAATTTGAGGAATGTCCACATATCTGGTATGTACCTTTAGTGGCAGTCCTGCGAAATACCATTGTAAAATATAGGCGTACATCGAAGAAAGGCACCATGTATCTTTTTACTCCTGGTGACGAGGGAAATGATTGACTCGCGCTTTTGCTTGAGTCACTACCTATCGACCTCTTTGTTGACACGACACGACGCGGCGTGGTACCAACACCAACCCACACTGATTTCATTGCCATCATTAGAGAAGAGACTCTCCATTTTCTTACTTTTAATGGACATTCCATCTATTCACATTATAGTTACAGATGCCTATCTCAAGTGCAGTCAACGTCATTCGAGTCTGGGAGGGAATCAATGTGCAGGTGACACAGGGTATCGGCGAATGGATTTCAGTCGAATACGAGCCTCTATCCATAGACAGTTAATCGACTGGACAAGCCAAGAAATAGGCGTCAGGCTAAAAAAGACTAATCCCGCAGTCTCTCAGTGATTCCCTCTCAAAAGTCTGCGACATTTTGTCTTTCTGGTTCTGTACCACATACGGCAGTACGGACTACGGAGTAATGCCATGGTTCCCACCGGCCGGACAATCGACGCAGGATGGCTGGCGCTTCGACATCGTCAGCGTTCTCGCCATCATTGGTGAATCGACACTTGAGCGACACGTTCAAGTCATCACCGCCTCTTCGTATGCCTGGCTCCCGCGCCTCCTCCCAGCCCCGCAGACCATACTCAAGACCGAGCGACCGGCTCGACTCCCCTCCGTCAAAGACGTCGTCATTACAGGCGTCTATTCCGGACTGCACCTCACAGAACTGAATTTCTTCGCCGATGTGATCCACGATGTTGCCACGCTGCAGCAGTACGAGTTTCGCGTGTACGACATTCACTACGCACACAAGGAGTCGAAGGAGGCGGAGGAGCTGCGGTCCCGACCGCGAGTCTTGACCGATGGAGTCGCAGAGCCAGTCTACATCCCTGTGAAGAGATTCTGCGCTCTCAACGTCGTAAACTGGATCTCGGTGGTCATGACCATTGGTCTGTTCATCTGGGCTGGTCTCATCCACGATGGGCTCGCAATGATCGCGCTCGTAACCATGTCGCTGTCGACCAGTCTGGCCTGTCTTTCCTCGGAATGGTACCCCGTCCTTTCACACCGGCCGACCGACGCCAAGGTTCCGCGGGGTGATATCGTGATCGCGACGCGCCACGGGGCGTTTGTGGTGGTCCGGTGCGACGAGGAGATCACGCGGGAACTGTACGGGGGCACGGAGACGTGCCGGTATGTGTTTGGCGATACATGGCATCGGGTGCTGCTGGGGACCAGCACGGTCCTGCTCATGGCGTCTGTGATTCTGTTCAACAACTGTGGCTGGACGATGCAGGCGGCCATCGGTAGCGCGTATATTATTCTGAATATCCTGTACTGGGCGGTGCCGTTGATGATGCACCGCAAATCAACGTGGGATATGAGCCGGTATGAGATCAAGAGGGCTGCGCCCAAGGCGCGACCGACGAAGCGAATGCCAAGTTATACGGAGACGCTGTGGTATGCCATCCGTGAGACGGGACGCATAGAGTGGGTTCAAAATAGCAAGCTGGCGCCGTCGACGGATGCCTGGCGAAAATGGCTGCAGGAGGCTCTGAGTAACTGTTACGACGGGTCCACGTGGGATCCGGTCGATGCCAAAGATCGCTTCATGCGAGAGGCCGCAGAGAGTGTACCGCCGGCGACAAAATCAGGATGACACTATGAGTACACTTCATGCTTATCGTATTGTTTCTATCACATACATCATAACCTATGTTCCTCTGCATGCCGTAATCGTGAGTTCTCGTAATCGTACAGTGTCATCAAGTCATAAGCGTGGATCAATAGTATCACTCGAGTCCATCCAAGGCAGCTTGACAGTATCCAGGATAGACGGGCCGTCACCGAATCTGTCGCTTTTGATCACATCCTGGACAAATGACAGATCGCGTTCTTGAATTCCATCTGCACCAGGCCGTGGACCGTCAAACACACGCGCCAGAAACCGCAGAAATGCAGACAACGCAGCAACGATACAACTGCGCTCTTTGTGGTGGACACTGCGCATAACCTCGGCCAGCAGACCAGGCGCATAGTAGGGAACAATCGCCACCCCGTCGCCAATGCCAGCTACACTGAGCCCATCGACCAGGCGGCGTCTGGTAGGTCCTGGTAAGATCTGAAAAGCCGTCTGGAACATCTCAGCCGACTCTAGACTATCGCCTCGGCCCATGCAGAGCAGCCGGAGTAGCGTTCGTTCCTCGGCATTCTCAACAGATAGCAAAGCAAATCCCTTCTCGTGTAGAAGTTCCCCCCGATCCATCAGAATCCGGTCGTAGCATGCGCGCTCAGTCGGAATATTTCCTCGAATAAACTCTCCAACGACTTCAATAGTGCGCAGATAAGCCCGGCAGACCGACTCGGTCATCATTGCGCAGCCCCTCGCATCGCGATGGGCACCTGCGCCAGCGACATCGAGCAGTGTCACTATCGCTCGCATCTTGTAGCCGCCTTCATTCTCACCTATCGACCGTAGCACAGAAAGACTCGCCGGCACACACTCACCCTGCACCAACTGCGAGAGATTCAGCTTGCTTCCGATCTGCAGGCTCTGCATGATCGCTGCCCTGCCGCGGCTGGGGACACCAGCCAGCGCCGGGATGCGATCTCCTCGCGCAGCATGATAGACTAGCTCGGAATGGTTTGCTTCAGCTTCAGCCTCATCGGTCGTGGCTAGGGCAGAGTCTTTGCCGATATCGTCGATGAGGATCGCTACCAGTAACGCGTAGATGTCTGCTGGATTGTGCAAATTCCGGATAATCATCTCCCGCATGCGCTTGAACGTCTCCGGTGTTAATTTCCCTTCTGATTGACCACGTGTGAAAGACTCGTAGTCGTCTGCCAGAGTCCACTTGAGTGCCAGCATGCTGATCAGGGTGCGGTTGACCTCTGCGAAATCTGCGCCGTAGATCAGCGCCGACGGTGTTTTCCCCTCCAAGCAGCCCGGAGGCGTGCTGGCTCCAGATTCAACTGTAGCACTAGCATTTCGGAGATGAGAGAGCTCTGTTGGGAATGAAGATGCGAAACGATGAATGGCCTCGGTGTTTGACAAAGTTGGAAATTTCTCCCGCGCGATGACGTCCCGTAGCGTCGCCATTTGTGGGCGAGAAGGAGATTCAGGGCACCAGAGAAATCGTAAGGTTGACGAGACAGACGCTTTTATTCTTCTTAGCATTTCTGAATATTGCAAACGAGTATACCGGATCGTGACGTTTTAAGCAAGACTTGACCGTACCAAAGAATGCCTCGGGCTGCTGCACAGCCGCACTGCCTGATCACCAGCCACTTTGAGCCTCTTGAAAACATCAACTTCGTATTTCATGGGCGCTTAGTTTTTGGGTCTCAGCCTCCTTTTTGTTCACAGTCGGTGAGCATAGACATCGAGAATATTATGAGGAGAGGCTCTGTTGGGTTGTTTTGGCAGCGAGAGGCCAATGGATGCGGGGAGATATATTTCGGCGGGCGACATACTACTATCAGTATAGTACATGGTCACCGTTGCTGGGCTATCTGCCATCTCAATTTTTTGACCCTCAACCTACAAGGCTGACTCGGTAGTTTCAATGGATCCAGTACCAGTTCTTGCAATACCGTCTATTTCCTCTGTAATGCCCTGAAGGCGTTGTATGGCAGCCATAGAATGACCACTGGGTCAACAAAATGCCCAAACCATGCATCCTAGTTGCTTATTAGAGTCAGTAAAAGAAGTGAATATCTATGACATCATCTTTGTGGACCTTTCTCAAAGGATTGTTTACGAAAACAGGTTACTGAATGATATCTTGTTAGTCCTTTTCAGTGAATAGTAAGGGAGTATCATTTGTAGCATTGTAGATTTTCGTACTTGAGTTTCCTCCTGTCAACAACTCCTCCATCCCAATCTGCCCTCACATATCACGAGCAAATCTTGTACTGTACTAAGGTATGAGCAATCCCATAAACTCTATGGTACATACGGCATGAAAGTGAAAGATGGTTTGCTCATTGCCTTGTTGGAATATGAGGCAGAGAGAACCACATCATTACCTTATTTATCGTCAACCCTACATAACATATACCATGGTAGAGTGTGATCTGATTCTGTGGTTAAACGCACTCATGAAAGTTGAGGTACAAGACATAAAGCAAGACAATCTAGCGTATTCAAAATTAGTTCCAGTTTTTGTATGCTTTTTGACATCTTTACTATATAAGCAATTAATAACTATATTATATGAGTATTGGATATCGACTGGTTGCTGGCGTAAGGTAGTTCTGTCATAGGTTTTGATACGAAAATACACCTCGACAACGACAGTAACCACTATAGTTAGAAATCATTATCACCACCGCTCATTCAACCACAGAGATATCGAATGGAAACTTTAGATACAGATTAATGTAATGATGATTATCATATACTTCTATAGAATATTAGTTTTGTACAACCATGTTAGGCACTGGGCAATAGACAGATGCATGAGCTCAGACAAACTGAGATTTAAAAATAGTTGCTGATAAACTAAACCACAAAAACACACCCGACACTTCAATTTTCACCTAACACTACCTACTTTGGTTCCGATCAATGGCTGAGAGGGAAGCGGAAGACGTCATGATTTGTTGTAGACTACATGCAACATGTACCTACTTTGTATACCTTCCTCCAGATCACTCAACTGGCCAAGCCATCTACTCTTTGTCGTTGAGGATTAAGTTCATCTACAGACTATACCTTTCTTCAATACCTTTCTTCCTCAGTTGTGCCGAGAGAGGTCGCTAATTACTCCTATGTGAAATAACCTCATCTGAGTCGGGGCATTCATATTAACACCACCATGGAGACTATCTTGATAATATTATATGCTATACCTGGAGGCCTGCTAGGCTTTCTTATATACATCCTCATCAATGCGGAAAGGTATGTAGAAGTTTATGAGAAGTATATTAAATATATTACTGTGATGACAAGTAACTCATGTTTATAGGGCCTCTGGAAGATGGACGTGTCAATGTCGACACTGTCAACATCAAAATCCGGGCCAGACAGACAGCGAAGTCACAAATCCCCTGATCTTGAAAGCTGAGAGCTTTGAGTCTGGCACGAGCTACTTGAGTCCATATCCGAATGTCTGCCAGGACTGCAGCGAAATCCCAGAGCCTCCACCCGTGACGGATCCCCTTATAGTTGACTACTACTACGACTACTACTGCCACTACTACGACTGCCACCATCCAACTAACAGCCAGCGCGACAGCGAAGCCCCAAAACCTCCACCTGTGACAGATCCCCATATAGTTTACTACTGTTACTACTACTTCTCCTACTACTATCGTTATCACTATGCGAATGACTGCCAGACTGCCAGTGAAATCACAAATGCTCCGTCCTCGACGACTGAGAGCTCTAGGCATCGCATCAGCCGTTGGAGGCCTAAAAATAAGAGGCGTGCGCTTTCCAGCCGTATCCAAGGCACGGTGGCTTCTACCTCAACAGCTGCAGTATCCTCAAATTCCCCAGCGCGAGGAAAACAGCAAATAAACATAGGTCGTGCCAGGGCCTCTAACTTGAAATCGGTCTACATGACGAGTTGGGCATCGAGGATACCTCGGCCGATTAACAGGGACAGGCTGCACTGCGGGTCACGGCCTAAGAAGGTGACCTTTGGGGAAATCCGAGTGATTCAGTTTTACAAATAGACATCCCACATTTCATATAATGTGGCATGAGTTTGAATTATATTACGACCAGCGACATTGCTTCCATATTGTCCATGTCTTCCACACATTGTCTGGCAGAGCTTTCGAGATTGCTCTTGGACTTGCAAATTATCATTCAGCTCTTGTTGAAACTGCAGTTCTATTATTCTACGTGTTTATATTCGTTTTATACTCATGTCGATTTCTATCGAAATGGCCTAATTGCTAGTCGGTCCATCTATGAAAGCCGACACCGTCGAGATCAACAATCGACAAGTGCTTTGCTTTTGCTGAATTGATTTATGTATTTTGATAAACTGCCAAACTCATAGGGCAGTGAACAAGTGCGCAATATCACCTTCTATTCCTACCATGTTCTAGCAAGCCAACAATAGATACTAGCGACACGCAGACAGAATAAACCCGACAGAGACATAAGACATGTAGTCCTGTCTCCTCGTCCGTTGTTGTGGATGCCACTCCACCGTCGCCGTCGCTTTGTTCCTCGTCGAAAAGGTCTAGAGAATATGATGACTTCTGGCGCGTCTGGATCATTTCGCGGATGATAGGGAGAATTCCTCCGTCTTAATTAGTCGTTCCCGTCTTTGCTCTGGGTTGTTTCACTTTTTCGCCTATAATGATGATATCCTTATCTATTTTTCTCGGCTACGTAATCGGACATGGTGTGTTGAAACGAATTGGGTCCGACTCGATTAGTGCTGCCACATCTTACCCTTGCGATGTTGCCATTACTACCTAACAGTGTACCTAATGTTGGCCACGGAATCTACGCCGTCTGGGTGGAGGGTCTTATCAGCGGCCCGTCCCGACCCGATAGGGATGGCTGATTGGGGCAGAGGCAGTTTATTAGAAAGATACTAGGACAACATCAACTTGCTTCATCTGCTAACCCGAAAGGGATTTCCATTATTTTATGACTGGCATGAAAGATCTGTGATGGGTGTATCAGCTCTCAATTCATCGGCAAGCTCAGTTCAGTCACCATAACGTGAATACCATGTTGTCTGCAACTTCATGAAAACCAGCATCCTCGTCCGGCTGATCGCCGGGAACCGAGGCCTCACCCAGGCCCCACAACACCAAGTCCACCTTTTTGTACATCAACTTGCAGCGGAATGCCTAGGTATGCCCGATATAATCTAGAAATAGTATTTTCAGCGTCCGACACCCGGCAGAATCCCTCGGTCAACAAGCAAATGCAGGCATTCCTCAATTGAAACGACCACCAAAAAATGAAAAGCACTGAAATGCCACATTTGCAGATTCAGACAGATTAGCAGAGACAGGCGCAGTGTCCTGCAACATAGTCATGCTACGACTCATACTAGACTGATAGGAGCTGGTGCTTGAACACCAGGAAGAGGTTGTTGTCTGTTGGCAGGGTAATTAAGGGCTCCTGCTACACAGTGTTAAAGTAGATTATTAGGCACCACAGAACCTAGATAAAAATCTCCAAGCTACCATTCAAAGGTAGGTATTACAACACATGAACAAGCAGGTTCTGATTGCCTTAAGGGATTAAGAGATCTAAAGGTATTCAGTTACGCAGAAGAGGGTCAATCCCTAGAGGATCTCACTAAGCCAGCCAGCAGACATGAGGAAACTAGATCACAGGATCTTTAGGGCTGTACTTTAACATCACTCCTACACAGGGTTTTCTCAGTCCCATCTTCTAACATCAGTTTAGGGGTCTGGAACAGAACATACTACAAGATTCTAGAGAGGGTTATGTGGTCCAGGGCATTAAGGCTGCTAAGGAGATAGATATATCTATTTAGACCCTTCATATATCATGCAGAGTGTTAAACTTAGCATCTATAGTTTTAATAGCCACTCGTGATGTAATGATAAGGGTGCTAGACTCTGTGACAGCTTTCATCAGATCTTGCAGGATATTAACCAGTGGTGTAAGGGAGCTCCTACAGATACAGAGAGTCCTCAATTAATCTCTTAATAGCTGTGAGGAGATACTAATATTAGATTCAAGGATTGCATGGTGCCTGCAGTAAGGAAGAGGAGTACTTAGAGCAGGGCTAGCTAAGTAATTTCTTAGTGCAACCACTAGATGCTTATTTAGTTAGAGTTAAGTGGACAACAGGAGGTGATGGTATGGTTTCAGACTAGACTAGTCAGCAGTGTCCACTAATTATACCATGAGAAGCTCATACAGTGATGGAAATATAGATTCATTGAGTCAACCACTTGCAGGGCCGAGGCAGAGAAGAAATCCAGGCATGGCTTAGATATGCTTTTAGAAACCACACCACCAACATATTCGCATCCTGGTTGTGAGCTCCCTGCAGACGGTCTGACTGGGAATTGTCATTCTCTCCTGCGAGGAATCCCAGCATATATTCCCAAGAAATCCCGGTGTCTTCCGTGAACAAGACGCGGGGATGATTCGATCGCTTCCAATGGCTCAGTCTATCAATCGACGCTTGTTTCCCTTCATGCAGTTCATGGTCGAGTCTGATTGGCGTACGGGCATGCCCAGTTCACGGCGTCGGATCTCCTCTTCTGGATTTTTTGTATCGAAGGGATATCATCGCAGGGCTATAAATGCCACCCCCTGGTTCGTCAGCTGGTTAACACAGATGATGTGTCGTCTGGATCTGGTCAAATGGGACAAGGCGAGGGACACGCTATAGGGTGTTCTGCTGTACTGATCAACGGGGGGAGAGGCGCGGAGAATCTGTGGAATGAGGTGCTCCTGGTGGAGACTTGTAAGATTTCGAATTTCTTGATCGGAAAACCGACGTTCCAGGTCCTCATGTTATGATGCTCTGAGAAGAGAGCCACTGGTTTTCTCGGAAGAGTTGCACAACATCACTGTTCTCATGGTGCGCAGTTTGGGTTCCTGCTAAAAACAACGTCAGAGGAAAGTGATCATGAGTCAAAGCACCCAACAGACAAAGTCAAATACCGTATCACCGCTTTTCTTCTATATTTTTCTTTTCTTCTTTTGCCCGCCTACCCACCGGGGGCTCGAAGCCCCCCCAAAAGAAGAACGCCGGCACCCCTGCCCACGATCCCGGCCGCCGTGACTACTCCATTCATATCGCCGATTCCCCCTCCAGTGTCGGGCTGGCTCGTCCGCGAGGCTCCTGGGGTCGAATTTGTCTGACCGGGAGGTGCAGACTGGCCTCGGCCCTGCCCATTGTCGCCACGTCCGGCTTGGTTTTCAACATCTGGCTCCGGGGCATCGGCCTTGGCGTCCTGCACGAGCATCCCGGCCATTGGAGGATTGCCAGCAACCCTTTCCATAGCCACGTCAAGGCTGTCTTCAACCTGTTTGTCATTAGCCGAGACCTTCGCCAAAGATCATAAGGATTGATCGCTTACCATTCAAGATCCGCGGGAGGATCCCAATGGAAGATGGGGCGCTGCCAATCCCTGACAAAGGATCTCAACCGGTTGCCGACCTCGTCAGCAACCGGGTCGAGGACCCTCCCAGCAGCCTTACAAACGAACCAGGCTACGAAGAACGCCGGGACGATCCAAGCATACTGGTACTCTACGAGAGCCGGCATGCTTAAAAATGGAAATAAAAAATTGAATGTGTAAAAGTATAAAAAAGCGAGTGTTGATGGTCGATATAGAGGTAAGCGAATGTATGATAACAGTAAAAAACAGAAGAGAAGAAAAGAGAAGAAAAGAGCATCTTGATAGCGGCACGAAGCTACATATTCTGTTCAACGCAAGCTTAAGCCAGGTGAGGAAGGCGCTCCCAAAAAGACTCAAAACATACCCTCATCAGGTGCTGGAGGAAGGTGCGGATGAGGAGGTCGACGACGGCCACTCCTGATACAACAAGCACACTCCTCGGTACAATGTCCATACACCCTGTGAACTTCCTCCCCGTCGTCGGAAGAACGCAGATATGTCAGTAGAGGTTTCTTGCAGCAGCCACATGTCTGCCCACAGCAGCCTCCAAGATCCGCGCATTTCTCCTGGTCCCACACCCAAGCATACAGCCGGCCATGGCGGTCTTTGTGTGCACGGAGCAGCTGCAGCTTCTCCAATTCATATTCACGTTTCCACGATTCCTGCATCTCACGCAATGCGGCTGCATTCTTCCAGTAGTCGACCATGAGCCCTCGAACAGCCTTTTGGAAGTCTTCTCGCTGCGTCTGGGTAATATAACCCGGTGGGCGCTTCTCCGTGACGGCTGGATCCTCCTCGTCTCCCAGTAATTGCATCAAGCGATGTCGCCGCTGGAGTATGGCGAAACCGCGTGCCTCTTGATGCAGAAAGGGGTTGACCTGCTTGTTTTGCACATTGATCTGCTGCTGCGTTCCTCGCGATCTTTGTTCCTCGTACCACCAGTCGGTCTTCCAGCTCCTGTAGGCCGATTTGAATTTCTTTTCGCACTTGGGTGTTTCCTCCTCCCCGTCCTTCTTGTTCCTGCGAAACAAAAACATCTTTCTTTGTGCGCAGCTTTAATTGATTGTCAGAGGAAAACTACGTACAAGATTTGGCAGCTGTTTGGTGTTCTGTCCATAGGTAGTATGAGGTCAGAATGAGTCGTGCATTTCATTGTTGAGACCATTCCTTTTTGGATTCCGACATTCAGACTTGAGATAGCTTACTTCGATGTTATCAGATTCTTGACATATACATCACAGAAATAAACAAGACACTACGGTGTGCCCGAAGTGCATGCGTCAACATTTCATTCTCGATGGAGTACGCCAATTCCAAGGCCACTTGGCTAAGCCCTTAGTCGCATTTATTCTTCTATCCCCTTCCTTGTCATTGTCCTTGTCCTCCTTGTCTTCATCCTCGATGTTGTCATCGTCGTTGACGTTGGAAAAGGGGGCAGTGGTGCCCGCTGGCACGCGCGCACACCTGCAGCCAGGGCAGTGGCCGGTACCACTATAACAAGTATCAGTTAGTAACTGTCCATATCCTGGACATAGCCATGCAGTCGGTATGACTTACCCCTGCATGTTGTGCATTATCGCCCTTACAACAGGTGTGCACGGAAGCGCCACAGGCAGAACACAGAGACACAGAATGGCGACGGCAGTGCCGTCGAGGGCGAACTGCACACGAATGTGATTGGATTCTTGATCGTCGTCCATTTTTACATTGATCTGATTGGTAATGGTAGAAAAAGCCTAAAAGCGTATGGTATGAAGTATTCTTCGACGAATTGGGAGGAAGACGTGGTGGATGGGGATGTTACGGAGGAAACTCGAGTACGACAATCTGCAATGCATAATGCTATGAGCAATCCTCTAAACGCTATATATTCACTGAAAGAGGAAGGAACAAGACTTCATTAATTACCTGTTTTAGTAAACAGTTGTTTGAGAAATCCATGGGTATAAGAAGTTCGTGATGGTGATGTCACAAGTATCACTACATAGCACCATGAGGCCTACCCCACGGAGTGCTGCGTACTCACTGTCTTGTCTTCTATCGCAAAGCTCATCTGGACGGGGAGATCTGCGGTCACTACCACTATCTAGCTTCCAGTGCTTCCAACTTCCGTAGCGGTCCTATCTGCATCATGAGGTCCGCGGCAAGCGCGCAGGCATTGTTCGGAAACCTGCATTTAGTACTATCTAAGCTGAACGCACCGTCAGTGAACTGCCTACTCTTAATCATATTCGGGACGAACGACAGGTCGCTCACTTGAATTCCTTGCGACTCCTGTGAACCAACCCGATTGTACCTAAGCCTTCATTGGCGTTTTGACCACGAATCGAATAAATTCCGTCGTGGCATTTTCAAAAAGTTACGGCATGATTCATGATTTTGTCAATATCGCCGAGAGATATACGGACAGATGGAAAATTGTCATGCTATCGGAAGCTACCAGGGAGACAAGTAAGGGAACGGAATTTGCACACAGAAAACATAATAAACAGCGAACACGGAGGTTAAAATCAAGCAGACAGAAATGTGAGATGCTCGAATCTGGACTGGAAACATAACTCGAGAAAGCAGACATGCAGAGCAGAACAAATGGAATCCACCCCTTTCCGCAGAGTGTCTCAGGTAAGGCTTTCTTAGGGTCATTGTGACACCCCCTCCCCTTCCCTGCCGCGCTTTGGACTCGAGAAGAGAGGCCCTCGTCCAAGAAGGTGTAATAAAACAACATTTTCATTGTACTATGTACATGAGGCAACACAGGTCTGTGCGACTAGCGCACCCTCCCGGCTATCCGGCCCATGTGCCTGGCGCCGAAGCGCGAAAAACAAAAGAAAATCAAGAAGAACGTTACTGGCGCTCGGCCGTGGGCAGAAGATCTCCTTTCTTGCCGTCCCAACCGTCAGCGGGCGCCGAATCGCGGCGGTCAGGGCTGCGGCCACTTCGGTGGCGTAGGCCCTGGACAATGTGCAGGCTTGAGGACCCTGCAGTCCGGAACCCACTGCCACTACCCGTGCTCGGCTTGCTGCTTGTTGAGCCCCTTTTGTCGGGGGCCGGGCTCATGGCCTCTTTGCCCCCGGCCCGGCCCTGGTGCCATGCGTGGCGCGGGGGAAGGGTGTCGGCGGTGTTGGAGGGAGGAGGAGGGTTGCCGGCGGCCGGGTTGTTGGCAGAGCCAACACAATTGCAAGGCTTGATGTTATAGTAGTAGTAGTTGTTGTTGGTAACGGGGCACTGTAGCACACACGAGTTAGTTACTGTCCTTGTTCATCCTATGACACAGTCAAGATGATCAGTATTTGAACTTACCCGCACCCTAAATGCCTGGACGTCCCCGCCATCATCCCCCGTGTTCAGGTAGTCCCGTCTCCGGGATACCGTCACATCTCTGTCTAGGTCCTTCGAAGGGCAGATTGTCGTTCTCCCATGGGCGGTTGGCCGGCCCCGGTGGCAGTGGGTTTGGAGGACGCGCCGGAGGAGGCGGTGCCAAAAAAAAAAAAAAAGAAAGACGAAAGGAGAACATTCTTTTTTCTTTTTTTGATAGAGGAAAATTTTTTAAAAAAAAATCTCTAGAGACATTAGCACCTACACCATGTGTCCTGGGTCTGTCCTGGGGACAGTCTCACCCCCTTCTTTAGTGCTGGCAAGCTGGATTTATCCGCTGCCACGAATTCAAGAACTTCTGGATCGAGCAGGTCAAGCCAAGCATCCATCAAAGCTTGATCTCCTCTCTGGATACTGGCAATTGCGAATAGGTGAATCATTGATTCCGAAGACAGCTTTTAATACATCATTCAGCAAGTTCGAATTCTTAGCAATGCCTTTTGGACTGTGTAACACACCTGCAACATTCCAGACAATGATGAATGGTATTATGCAAGATCTCGACTTCGTGGTAGTATACCTCAACAATATCCTGATCTTCTCGGACTCAGATGAAGAACATGAAAGACATGTTCGGAAGGTACTCAATCAACTTCGAGAACATCAGTTATATGTGAAACTCTCTAAATGCATGTTTGCTAAGAGGGAATTGGAATTTTGTGGTCACATCATCAGCAATGGATTTGTTTGACCAATGCCCGCAAAGCTCAAGGTCATAAAGACATGGCCGAAGCCAACAAATATTCATGAAGTTCAACAATTCTTGGGGTTAGCTACGTACTATCGCTGATTTGTACATTAATTCGCAAGAATCACTTCTCCTCTTCATGAACTCTTGAAGGAATCGGATGCTTTGCTTCATAAGAAGAAGTTTCAACCTATAGTCTGGAATGCTTGATGTCAGCAAGCATTCATCACACTAAAGAATGCCATGGTTAACGCGCCTGTTCTTAAAATCGCTGATCCATCGTTACCATATTGGATTGAGACCGATGCCTCCGAATGGACTTTTGGCAAAGTACTCATGCAGCAAGACGAAAAGGGACAATGGCATCCTGTTGCATTTGATGGACAAAAGCTTAACAATGCTGAAAAGAACTACCCCACACATGAGAAGGAACTTCTTGCGATTAAGGAAGCGCTTCGACGATGTTCCGACTCTAGGGCAGCGATTTTGTTGTCCACGAACTTCCCAAAGCGGATAAATCGGAGCGGATTAGACGGAGACGACCCAGGTCCTCGAAGTCGACCATCGACACAGGCCAGGGAAGAACTTCCCCGTCTAGGGGGTTACGACGACGCTTCTTTGACGGAGTTGAACCGAAAGACGGGGTTTCGCGGGGGCGTTTCCATAGGAACCCTTTCCCTTTATCGATCACGGACGAAGAACCTTCGACAACGGAGGGCTTAACAGCGGAAGAACGACGACTGATGCGACCTATACCAGCCTCGACTGAGGGAGTACGTGCAGTGACGCTGGCAGAAGGAGGTGCGGTGGATTTGTGGGGGGTACGGGAAGCTCCGGATACGTTCGACTGTTCTTCGATGGGGTCGTCGACAACCTCCTCCACTTGGGGGAGAATATCTCGCAAAGCGGGACCACTACCAAGAGCCTGCAGTAGTCCCCCGGCCTGAAGAATTGTGCTACACGAATAAGCCAAAAGAAAGGAGAATCGATGGGGTAGGAACTTACACGTCGTCGTCGGAATTCCACCCTTGTGTACGACTCAAATAGTAATCGCATTTGGCCGATTTGCCCTGGCTGAGCCAG